GTAGCGTATGAAGAGAGCTATTTAGAGACACAAGAGTATGGATCCTTGCAGGCACGAAAACTTCAAATCTATAAATAAAACCCCTTTTAAGCAGGAGCTTTGTTTGTTAAAATTAGTTTGGACAAATTATATTTCAACTTTATTCGGGTATCGGTGCCGGTGCGACCTCATCTCCCCGATTGTTGCTTCGGTCCATCTGCCCTTCTTCTACCCAGTCTTTGTCGACCTCGGAGGGAAACAGCAAAATTAGAAGTGGGAATGCAACACAATGCTGAATCCATACTAGAGTTTATTTTCTTTTTGGGTTAGATCGAGTAATTTTGAATGTGTCGTTAAACCCGCCACCACCCGACGCCGTCAATTAGTAAGGTTTTCCACGTAAAGAAAACGTGCCAATTTGTTACTAGTTCTGCACACCGGCGTGTTGGAGAGTTAAACCCACGACAACATTTACAATTTGAGCACCGTGAAGTTTCGCCAGTAAATACAACCGGCATCATCGGGCGACAGCCCAGATTTGTGGAGAAATCCTCCTGTTTTCAGTCTTAAATAGAAAGATAAGTGCGATATTGTCACTTGTGAGCCAGTCGCTTGCGAAGGCCAGAGGTGAATGTTACCCGGTGAGTGCAGCTGTAGTTCTCACGGACTACGGCTGCACCGTCACTTTGTAGACGAAGCGGCTGCGCAGCAGCAGCAGCAGCAGCAAACGTGCAACAGGTGGTAGGCTACCCAACGGCAACAGCAGCAGCAGCAGCAGCAACAGCAGTCGTTTACACCATTGGTACCTCAATTGCCAGTAAAAAATATGCTAATTGTTTTTTTACCCTTCTATCTGGCAACAAAACTGACACCTTTTTTTTTTTGGCGTCATCTGGTCCAACCCATGTGAGACTAGGCTCTAAGGAAAGCAGTCTCGGGTGTGGACCAATCAACTTCAAGGACAGTGCATACATTATCAGAGTTAGGTTTTTTGTTTGCATTATGACCGCAGGTATTGTGGTCTATGCAAACATGACTCCTTGTAAAAAAGGTGTCAGTTTTGTTGCCAGATAGAAGGGTAAAAAAACGATTATCAACAGCAGTCGTGTTCACGAATCTTTTATCTAGCATATCCATGAAGGGCCATTGCCCGTAACACATGCCTATTTTTATTTAAAGGCAGTGTGAGATTGAAGAATGTGAGTTTTTTTAATATTATTTGTGGTTGTGCACCACTGTCAACGCAGCACAAGGGAAATAATTTTTTACGGCATTACTTAAGGCTTCGTGGCCCATATTGGTAGTTCATTTGCACCGGTGGAAACATGTGCACTGTGGAAGAGAGAAGAGGAGGAGATGTGGTGTGATAGGTGAAATGGAAAGAGTGGGCTGCGGTGGCCTGTAACCAAATCGCCTGGTGTGCACGCGCAATCTCACCAGATCTCAGACTCTGAAGCGGGGTTAAGCCTAGATAGGGCTTGGTCGGTGTGGGTGAACGCCGCCGCGCGCACAACAGGTGCCGTAGGCTGCCCACGGGACAAGATTGTCAGCAGAGGGAAGTGCAGAAAATCAATTGCTGTTCTGCACCTTCACCATGAAGTAGGTTGTGATCAAATGAGATCCCCAAGACCCACGCAGCACGGAGAGGCCATCATGCAGGAGTGGAATGACAAAAGAAAGGTCTGTACCAGCTGGTGCAAAAGGGTTGATGCATGAAGGGGTGTTGAGAGAAGGGGGGGGGGATAGAAACAAAAATCGTTGGGAAGTCTAATGAGACGGAAGGTGGCATAAGAGCCGGGGTAATCGTAACAGTGATTCTACAGAGCAAAGAAGAAAGGAAAATGGAAGGAGGAAGAATAGATTGATTGGCAGCGTCGACAGGACAGCATCTGTCATGGGCATAACAGAGGCGTCAAGCCTCGGTTGTGCAGAAGTCGTGTGAGATCGTATAAACGTGGGGTTTTTTTTCCATTCTCAAATGCAATAAAACATTAAATTCCTTCATGTTCTACAAGCCCTTGTGGAACTGGCAGCATTTGTCGAAGCAGACATGCTCTGGAGCGGTTTTGGCTATTGAAGTGTTATCGGCAGTCGTAATCCCTTTCCCATTCCAACTTACTTCTCTTCGTTTCCTCTGGAGCATAAGGCCGCAACAAGCCCACGGCATGTTGGACGGTCTTTAGAAACTTTCTCTGCTTCACCCCAAGACAGAATGGTGCGTTGCAAGGTGGTCTTTGGCCTGCCCCGCCATCTTTTCCCTTGTGTCCACCGTAGGGCAGTTTTCCATTCTCTTAGGTTTTTTCGGTAAAGTCACGTAGGTAAAAACTAAATTTAAAATGAATAAAGCAAAATAAAAAATCACGACGTTTCGGAGGCAACACAAGCTTCCGTCTTCAGGTGGAACCGTCACAGCACGACTGCTGTATCAAGTAAAGCTTGTGTTGCCTCCAAAACGTCGTGATTGCTTTTATTTATTTAAAAAAAAATTTACCTACGTGACTTTACCGAAAAAACCTAAGAGTATGATTTCGGTAAAGTCACGTAGGTAAAAAATAAAATTAAAATTAAATAAAGTAAAATAAAAATAACGACGTTTTGGAGGCAACACAAGCTTCCGTCTTCAGGTGGAACCGTCACAGCACGATTGCTGTATCAAGTAAAGAGACATTCCAAGAGACCCGACCTTGTATATATACTGGTTGAGGGGGGAGGAGCCAGGGTGGGTCCCTGGATCGGAGTTTTTTATTTTACTTTTATTAATTTTAATTTTATTTTTTTACCTACGTGACTTTACTGCAAAAACCTAAGAGTATGAAGTCTCTTGTGTTGCATCGCATAACCAAGTCAATGGCAAACAGGAAGATAATTGGTGAAATAATGCATCCTAGGCGTACCCCTGACGCGACGGGAACCAGTCTGAGGTAGTGATGTTGACCAGGATGGCACATTCAAATTCTTCATATAAGCGCTTGATCAGCTCCATGAGTTTTAGTGGCATGCCATATGTCGTCGGTAGGATCTTCCAATGACTGTCTCTGTGTATGCTATCAAAAGCTTTCTTGAAGTCGATGAAATTGTGGTTTAGTGGGGGCTTTCCAAACCAGGCACTGTTCCTTGATATTGTGTAGAGTAAATATGTGGTCAATGCAGCCTCTCTCTCTCTCCCAGCTTGCTCTTTCCGCATGGTCTGGTCAAGGGCACTGTTAATCCTGTTGAACAGGATTTTTGAGAAGACCTTGCTAGGAAGCGACAGGAGTGTAATTCCTTGCCAGTTGTCGCAGTTTGCAAGATCGCCCTTTTTGGGAAGTCTCACAATTAGGCCTTTTGTCCAGTCCTTGGAAATGCTATTACTCTCCCATATGCGTTGGAACAGGTCTGTATGTGCATTAGCGGCAGTCTCTGAATCAGCTTTGAGCATCTCAGCATGGATGGTACCAATGCCTCTGGTGGAGCCTTTCCTGATTTCATTGTGGATATGGCCTTGCTGATCTCTTCTTTGGTTGGGGGGGTCTAAATAAATATGTAGTGAAGAAGTTGGTTGAGGTCTGTTCAAGACTGTGTTAAATTTTCTTGCTGTGGATTTCACACCTGATGACGATTGCTTGTGTTGCAGTCGAAACGTCGTGAGAATTTGTATTGTTTGATAGTTATATTATTATTTTATATTATTTCCCTTCTACGTGACTTTACCGAAAGAACCAAGAATATGAGTCCCTGCAGTCACGAAAGCTTTGAATCTAAATTTGCTCGACCCATCTTTCTGCCTGGGCTCTCTCAGTGGTGATGGCCGTGCCCTTCCTTGTCTTGGACTGGTGGTGTTTTACTTCTTGTTCCGCAAAGTTCTTTCGTGATTTTATAGAATGCTCCTTTTCACTATGGCCGCTCCCTCCTCAGCGAGTTTCGCTTTACTTTCAGGGTATACCATTTATGAGGTTAAGGATGGGGGTTGAGTGACCGTTTAATGTTACATTTTCTCCCAATTTTATCCCAACGAAGAATGTATTCTAATCTCTGTCAAGCAGCATATCCTTTAATGGTAGAGAAGTTCCCACAGCAGCGGTTATTGAAGAGCTAGCATCTGATAACCCCTCAAGTGACCTCTGGTACACATAGTAAGTAGATTTCAGAATTGTCCCAGCCGCTCTGCCAGAATTTTCATTGCATGATGGTCAACCGAAATTTGTAATTCTCAGAGCTGAAATTTTGCCATATCAAGTGGTAACTGAGCTGAGACCATCGACTGACTGGTCGTGGTGAACCTGGTTCAATCACAGGTTGTGCTCGGATGCCTGCGAATCAAACCCAGGGTCTCAGCGATGCCAGCTGAGATTTCTGACCTTTGAGCCACCCGGCCACCTTGCACAAAAGGGCTCTTAGCAGGTTCTGAATAACGCATGGGAGCGTGCGATGGTTTCACGTCACGTGAGGCTAGGGAGGCGGGGGGGCCCAGCGTTGCCCCCTCCGGCATGACCTCTGTGAGCCAGTGCTGTGTTGTTCGAGCTGCAGTATTGTCGCACGACAGCATTCCAGCACAGCGCCCGCCCATCCGCGTTCATCGCAGTGTTCTGACCGGAACCAACGCTCTGATGGGAAAGCAGCACGCGTGCTGGATTTAACCCCAAGCGTGACGGGGGGATTTTTGTTTATTATTGCTACTCCTACACTAAAAGGCCTGTATATAACATGGCTCATTACACCGCTGATTCGGATATACCGCGGGTCAAGTCATGTGCCCCGAAAAGAACGTACAGTTGATGGTAGAAAGATAAAGATAAATTAACATAATTTATTCATCATGTAGATCAGTGCTTCGTAACTGGTGTGCCGCCACACGGGCCCAAGTCCCAGCTGTTCAGTGGCCGATCCACCCCCCACCTCCCACCCTCCCCTTCCAATTTATTGCGGTGCATTACGTCAGCCTCCACCTCCAGCCCTCTCAACTTTAACGGTCGCCGCACGCGCAGTTGGGCAAACGGACACGGAGACCCACACGCAGACGCCGAGACGCGCGTGCATTTTCCTTCATAACGGCGAGCGTCATGTCCCACGACACCTGCGCATTATGTTGGCCTTTTACTGTATTGCCACGCTTTGTTTACACGGAAGAATCCCTCCCGCTAAGGCGGGGGGTATAACGGCACACGGTCACAGCCGCGATGCGCCGGGTCGGCCGTGGCTTGAAACGCGTTTTACTTTGAGCAACTCGGTGCAACTTGGCACAGCGTTGGCGTAGAGTGACAGAGTTGCCCTAAGTTGCTTGGAAAAAGTGCGTTTGAGCAATTATTAGTTCACAGGGAGCACGACAACCTCGGGGTAGTCATGCGACCTCCGTATTCCGTTTGGAAGTTGCCCATCCCAGTTGTCCGCGAGTAGGGAGTAGTGATCAGATTTGGTTACAATCATAAAATGGTGGCAGAAACTATCGCTGGTGATCATTTCTGGCAACGATTACCCCCACGGTTGCCCTGGTGTGTGTCACAGCTTTTTAAGTGAGCCAGCGGCACTGCATGGAAATGAGGCTTCGGGTTGCCGTGTGGCTGTGAGAGAGGCGGCGTTTGGCTGATTGTGATGCCGCGTGCGTCTTGACATCGGTGAAACCGACCCCTGTGACCCGCAGTGCCGCATCTGCGCCACTGTTTTCATTTTAATTCGTGTGATTTCCTTGCCCCGCGTGGGCGGCGGCTGCTAATCCACACTGAGCATGCCCTAAGCGCAGCCCTCTTTGGTATGGAGATGGTTATAATCTAATTCTCACACCCACCACAGCTAAAGTTCCTAGGTGTACCAATCATCAGGCTTGTGCGTCGTCTAAACAGCTGTTCCAATTAAAATAGGATAGATTGGTGAAGGCAGGTCGCCGGGTTCATGGTTCAACGCGCCAACCACTTGCGATGTTCCAATCGAGGCACGGTGGTGGTTGGGGCACTGCGTGCTATTCTGATTTGAAATAAATCGCATCATTGTTTCAATTATCGCGCCAAGGGCGTGGATTGAAACCGGCAACCTCCGGGTTTGTCGCAAGCACGCCGCGCCGTCCATTGCACCGCGGCGGCGTACCGCGTACCGCCGCGGTGCCCTCGTGCGTTCGGCGACTCTGCTCGCGATTGAATTAACTCGGCGTGTTTCCTGCCGCGTCTCCCGTCGCATCGCCGCAGGTGCTGCTGGAGCAAGCGGGACGATGGAAGGTCACGGAGAACGCCCTGGAGCTGATGGACGTGTACGAGTCGGCCATCGCGAGCCTCGCAACTGCACGGCCCCTCCTCTCCTCCGCGTGCGAGAATGTGGACATGCTGCTGGGCCGGCTCGCGCTGTGAGTACATTGACCGTGTTTTAGTCTTTTTGTAAACTATAAATAAAATAAACTTTTTGTATTTTACGCGGTAAGGCCTCTACTGAGCTGTATAGCCGCGTTTCAGAAGCGGCCTGGTTATCACAAATGATTGCTCGACGAAGTGGCTTATCGCGTGGAAATTTAGAGCAGCCGAATACTTGATTCTGAATGTGGAGAGACCCGGAGAACTATCCATACGACCACTGGGGGAGAGAGAGAGACATGCAGGCTCCAAATATACAACAGCCGTTAGGGTCGGGATCGAACCCACGACCTGTACAGCAGGCGAGGCAGATACAATCTCACCCCTCCTACCCCCCCACCCTTTACCTGGGCAACTACTCTACCCCCCTCCCCATAATCAGAATCTTTATTTATCTCGGAGGAATCCAATGAGCTAGTAAGCTATTTTTTTCACAGATTTCCAGTAGGGGCAGGTGAGAACATTACAACAACAAACAATACAAAAGTACAATAGGAGTGCAAAGTACAGGAAAGGGAAACACGATGTTGAGATATTATATTCGTGGTTCTTTCGGTAAAGTCACGTAGAAGGAAAAAAAAAAAAAAATTAACAATAAAATTTTCACGACGTTTCGACTGCAACACAAGCAATTGTCATCAGGTGTGAAATCCACAACAAGAAACTGTGAAAATCCACCACTTTTTTCAAATTTTCTTGCTGTGGATTTCACACCTGATGACGATTGCTTGTGTTGCAGTCGAAACGTCGTGATCATTTTATTGTTTTATATTCTTATTATTTTATTATTTCTCTTCTACGTGACTTGACCGAAAGAACCAAAAATATGAATAAAAAAATACAATATTGAGATGTTTGTCATTATGCTTGAAACTTGAAAAAAAAAACACTGGGTACACGAATGAGCAAGCGTGAAACATTTTTTTTCATCTTTCCAAAAATCCAAGTTGTCCTTTTTTGGTAACAGCCGTATCCTGACCTGGATAGTGTGAAAACAAGGCGAACGGGGAGAGTGGACCGGTCTTAAGTTTCAAGTTTATTTTGTTGAATAATTTGAGAACTCGAAAGAGACCAGGAGTCGCATTTGCAAGGGTAACCTAGGGCTGCTTGGTCTATGACTGCTCACTATATACTCACCTACTGATGGGTGGCTGAAAGCTGTTTTAAGATGCCTACCTGAATTCAACACGCTCCTTACTAATATATCCGATATTGTACATACACCAATTACCAATTCTCACTGACGACAGCACCCTACTTAATAACGTCTCCCTGATCCATAGCGCACCCTCCTTACTAAAGTATTCCTTAATACAATGAGACACACGGACACGGCTGGACTTGTTCGACATTTCAAGATGCACAGGATATCAATTCTCTTCTTAAATTTGTGATGATTGATAACGCAATGAAACCCAAATGAAGGGCAGGAGTGCCAACACAGCTGAGCCAACACTCGGCCACAGGATGTCGTGTACAGTGTCGACGCTGTCTGTGTGCATGCGCGCGCTCCACCTTCAAAGTGCACCTAGCCTGGTACAAGCACAGTGGCGACATCACTGCTACTCGGTGGCGAACGCCGCTTGTTTTTGTGAGTGCATTCCTCGGCTGTTCTCCAGAACCGTTGGCCGTTTCTGGCATTTCTCCCACAATGCAGTTGCTAATTACTTCTGCAGCAAAAGCAGCACTCTTATACTCTTTGGTTCTTTCGTTAAAGTCACGTAGATATAAAATAAAATAAATTAAATCACGACGTTTCAGGCACAACACAAGCGTCCGTCCCCACTTCTTTTTTTGCCCACTTCAGCAATTGTTTCTTGCTGTGGTTGTCCCACCTGATGACGGACGCTTGTGTTGCGCCTGAAACGTCGTGATTTAATTTATTTTATTTTCTACCTACGTGACTTTACCGAAAGAACCAAAGAGTATGGATCCCTGCTGTGACGAAAACTTCAAATGTAGATTCAGCACTCTTATCTTTATTATTCTCATAATTTCTTCGTGTGAACCTGCGACAGCGTTAACACACGGCAAACCATTAACGCTTCATTTTGCTTCTTTAGATGGTAAACTATCTTATAGTTGCATGGTAAAAATAATTACTTACCCTCGGTCTTGCAGGGATATGGGTGAGAAACAGACAAAAATATAAGCACGTGGTTAACAGAAATTTTTTTTGCATGTTCACTTTCGGTTTCTCCACCAAAGCATACATTAAAATAACTTTCATCTTCTTGGTTCTTTCGGTAAAGTCACGTAGAAGGGAAATAATAAAATAATAAAACATAATCAAATAATTCTCACGACGTTTCGGCCACAACGCAAGCAGCCGTCCTCAGGTGAAGAACAGGTCTTCAGACGCTGTCTTCCCGACAGACCTGTTCTTCACCTGAGGACGGCTGCTTGCATTGTGGCTGAAACATCTTGAGAATTATTTTATTATGTTTAGTTTTTTATTATTTTATTATTTCCCTTCTACGTGACTTTACCGAAAGAACCAAGAAGATGAATCCCTGCAGTCACGAAAGCTTTAAATTAAAATAACTTTGTTGTCCAGCTGACGTTGGGCATGCCGGAGCAGTGCATTAGAGTGCAATTTGTTGTAGGTACGTATGTAGAACTTCTTTCGCACCGTACGTAGTAGCTAACCGTGCTAATCAGAGGTGGAGGTGATAATTGTTCACACATTAGCATTGGTGATGAACTTAACCCGACGCAACAGTGTGCTTCTAATGTTAAGCACAGAAGCGTGGAAGTCAAATCCATAACCCTACAAGAGCGTAGTTCTGTTTGCACTTTCTGTGGGCTGTTGAAACATCCCAGGAATTCTGCAGTCTTCTCTTTCTTCTTGAAGTTATCCCCTCTGTGTTTCACGCCAGCCAGTTCCACCGGTCTCGACTCCTCCCCTCTCCCTGCTGCACATCTTGGGTGTGCTTTCTGAAATATTTAACTTTCAAAAGCTGTCCTTTTCTTCCTGTGTGCCACCGTTCTGTGTCTCTTTGCTGTTCGACACGAGTTTTAAGCTTCGTGAATTGAGGAAAAAATTATTTGACGTTACAGTGCGTCGTTACATCATTTCGGGTGATTGGTTAAAGGCAATTTGTACGTTTTCCCTTCCTTATTAATGAAGCTTTCAGCTCGTGTCGGGCAGCCTGGGACACATGGGCTCGGATGGTATCTACAAGATAAGAGCCGTTATATTTTTAATGCTTTTAAGCCAACGTTGTAAGCGTTAATGCGTTGGCTGTGTCTGGTCCTGTAGGGTGGTCTCGAAAACGTAAATGCAGGGATGATGAAATATACATTAAACTTTATGATAAAATTGCATTGCTATAAGGGGCTTATCCTTTACAAAACCGGCCACATTGATCAAAGGGTTACCAAAAAACTTTGGTTGTAATTAAATCAGCACTAAAATATTATTGCCTTGTCCAACAAGGTGGTGATGTATGTCACGCGCTTGGCTTTGCCTCCCGATTATATCGTTACGTGTGACGTCATTGCACACCGTCGCGCGTTGTGTGATACAATCTCATCTGCCGCTCGGAAGGGCTGGTCATCGCCGCTAATTAAATACTTCTGAGCGCACGTTGGAAAGTGTTCCAGGATCCATGCAGGCGCCTAGTTTGTGTCGTGACATCAACGGGCGACGGCTCACCCCCGCACGCACGCGCCATGTCCCCTCCTCCGCAGGAGCTGCTTTGAGCTGCTGCTGCACCTACCGGAGTCGGGGGTTCCGGAGGACACGTGGGGGGCTTTCTCTACGTCCGTGAAGGTGAGTCGAGCGATGGTTCCGGACGGGCACCGTCCAGTCGGTCGCCCCACGGGACTTGCGGATCGGTCAGATCTCTCCTGACTGACACCGACCTCTCACCTTGCTTGGAACGCCGTCTGCAATGCGGTGGTGCAAAGGGGCGTTCGTCGCTTCCGCGTTTCTGAACAGTACGACGGTGATGGACGTTTGTGCCACCTGAAGCAACGCGGCATTTTAGCGACAGTGGAAATGAGCACGAGGGTGTAGCCGGTCTGCTACCGCTGTGTGGGCCAGATATCAGAAATTCCAAGGGGTGGGGGAGAGGCGGGGTGGGTGGAACATGTGATGTTCACGTTGTGTTTGCGTCAGTGTTCATTTCCCCCCACCACCCCCCCCTACTCGGGAATGATTGGGCTTCACGGTGTTACAAAGAGGATCTGCAAACGGAGTTTATTCAAAACTTATACACGAGGCTGCATATAAAGAATGTAGTTACCCCCTCCACTCCGCATTTCACCATCTCACATGCAACTCACACAGTGTGGGGAAAAAGACCCTTATCCGGCTATGAATTTACAAAAGGACTGTACATATAATCTAAACTATAAACTGAACAATTATTTTTTATCTTATCAGGTAATGCCCATTGAGCTTTATAGCTCTTTTTCAGAATCGACTTGGCCACAAATTATAGCTCAGTAAAGTGGCTTATGTAGAAATTTATGGTATCCAAATACTCTAAACGCTTGTTTCCAAATGTAGAGGGAAAAACCTCAGGGCCCGGGGAAAGATCCACGCAACCACGAGCAGATCACGCAAACTCTAAATATACAGGCGTCAGGGTCGGGAGCGAACTCGCGACCTCCTGTATACCAGGGGAGGTAATTAACATCTCGTCACCGCGGTGCACTATACATACAGGGTGGGTACCAGTTCCTCCGTAGAATAATCACGTAACTTAGCCCATAACGGGGGTACTCGTTTTATCATCCCTCCACCTTCCTGTGGCCATAAGCAGGTCTATATATGTGAGCGAGTCTTTGTTTCCTGGGCTGTGCGCGTTTAACCCCCCTCTCGCTCCCCAACTTCTGGAGCAAGCTCTCCAGATAGGTTTCCCGCTTGTTGTTCGCGGTGTGACGTCCCCGACGTTTCGGGCGACGTGTTGGGCGGGGGTGGGGGGAGCGTGATTTTTTTTAGGAGTTTAAATTTGCAGAGCCGTGGCCACTGTGGGGAGGATGCTTTTGGGTTTTTGCTGAATTTTGGCTGTGCAGGCCGCACGGACTCCTGCGTTTGTGAACGACTTGGGCGGCTGCAACGGAGATTTTCTCTCCCCCCCCCCCCTACCCCCCCAGTTGTTGCTGTGGAATATAATCCATGGCAGGATGGCTGAATCAAGGATTGAGAGGCTGCTTGCCGGGTCCTGCGCCAAATTAACCATCTGCTGTAAATTACCTCTCTCCCTCTCTCTCTCTCTCCTCCTCTCTCGCCCTCTCGTACCACCCAACCCCCCACGGCCATCATGCGCCTCTTAAAAATAATAAACAGGCCTCTCGTAAACTGTAGCTCTCGTAAACTGTAGCCGGCACTCTGTTTAATAATACACCAGCGAGCGGGGGGGCCCATTTCACCACGGATTTCGCTGTGCCCCTTTGGTTTTGAGAGCAAGCGAGGCGTACTTAATGACATTTATCCCCGTTTTCTTACAAAAAAATATCCAACCGTGCTAATGGCACCTCCGATTAGCACGGTTGGCTACGTACGTTACGAAAGAAGTTCAACGTGCATACAGTGGCAGTCAAAATGGAGTCCGTTTATTTGCCTAAAGTCTTATTTCCTGTGATTTACGTGGTGTTTTCTTTGTTGTGTGTGTGCTTACGATTGCTTTTGCTGGCCTGGCAGTTGCTGGCCGGTCATCGGGCCAGGCACACACAGGCAGCACGCACTCAAGACACACATTCCCCGGGCTTAAACACAACGGAGGATGCACTTCAACGGCGTGCGGGAGGAACTGTAATGAGAGAGGGCTTGTGGTGGGGGGGGGTGTCGGTTAGGAGGGCAGCTCTTTTGACATTTACAGCAGCGGGGATGGCACGGAGGGGGGGACAAACACACACGGGCCTCTAGAAGTCTACGGCGGGAACGCGTAGGGCTAAGCCGGCCCGGGTTTTGCGTTGAGCCTGCACCGGGTGTGGCGAGCAGATGGAATGCATCGTCGCTTGGCAACTGCCAATCGTTGGCGAGGTCGCGTCAGCTGCAGTGGGGCGAGGGTGCGCCGTAAATCCTGGAGCGGAGCGGCGAGTCCAGCGAGCTGATAAGGTTCGGTTATTATGTGGCCTTGGACACGATCGCGAAATCTGTCGTTCCGTCTTAAACGTAACTGACGTTTTAACATCGCGCGCCTGCTCCGCCGCCGTGCTTATAATTGCACGAGCTCGCCGCTTGGAATTTACGTTGAGAATAATAATAAAAAAAGAGCCCTTACCCCATATTCCTTTTTTAAGCGGCAGCGCGTGAATCTAAATTGGGTACATTCATTGTTTCTGGCTGCGTTAATGTCGCCATTCACAGTGCATATGCTGAATTTAAATAGCTGTCTCTCTCGGGCAGCTGCGGCTGGGGTTGCGGGAGCAGGCTGCAATCGATCCTGAATGAAGGAAGAAACAAACAGTTCCCCATAAGGACCGCGCTTAGCTGAGAAAGGATTTAAATTAAATTCTGTACGAGGCAGCCGGGGCGTCCCTCGGGGCTCCACAAAGCTCACGCAGGGCACCGAACCAACATTGGTGAGGTCCCGGGTTCGAGCCCTGGTACCGGTTGCCCGTTTAAGAGGGATTACCCCCCCCCTTGTTAGGGTACTGAGGGTTCTGCATTCGATCTCCTGGGGGCACCGTGCATCTTGGTGGTTTTATAATGGCCTGTCAGGGCACTGAGCCAGTACTGGAGGGCTCTGGGTTTGAGCGCGGTGGCTGGGGGTCGATCGGTGGGCTCACAATGGCACTAGGGCACAAAGTCAGCAACAAGGGGGTTGTGAGTTCAAGCCCTGGTGTTGTGTTGTGGGTGTCTTTGTGGGTTCACAATGGCCGTGTTGGGGGTCACAGCACCGGCAACTTGAGACCCCCCCCCCCCCCCCCTGGTTGTCTCTTGGGAATGTAATGACCGGGTTGGTATATTTGGCCTGAGTATCGAAGGAGCTGGGTTCAATCTCTGCTACTTAATGGGATCTCTGGCTTCATAACATTTTACGTCTTTTAATTAATTTAATTCCTGAATCGGTTATTCTCCATTGAATTTTTTATTATTATTTCCATTTAGTCTCATTTGTATGCTTTTGTTTTCTCTATCAGTCTAAATGTAAACAAGCTTAACATGTAAGCTTTCGCGACCAACATTATCCATAATAGAGTTTGTTTTGTTGTTGGATCGCGTAAATATAAATGCCACCACCCGACACAGCCAATCGGTAAGGTTTGTCACAAAACGTGCCAATTCATTACTAGACTAAATCCACAACATTTATAATTCGAGTACTTGTACGTGTGGTTGCGGGTTTAACGACACATTTTTATTTACCCACAAAGCCCTCTTATAAATGCAACTTTCACATAGTTTACATAAACATTTTGATGATTATTACAGTACACGAGGGTTATGAGTTCAAGCTCAAAATCTCGTCTGTGTGTGGTGAGAATGTCCGAGGTCTTGAATAGGTTCACCTTTACCTTGGTGGCATGATTTAGAGCAGCGTTGTATGTTCATTATGTCTTTCGACAACTGGAACTAGCCTAGTGGGTGGGGGGGGGGGGGTAATGGATTTGTCTAACCACAGTGTGTGGCATTGCCGTTCTCAGGCAGCAGCAGTATGAAGCTCGCATACTTTCAAGGCTCTTGTGCTTGATGTTTTGCTCTTTGTGGTCGAGACGTGGACGCTTGGGAACAGTGGGGGGAACGACTGAGCGTCCTTGTTTACATACAGGGTCTCGTCGCAGAATCCTCCGATGCCAATACGATGACTGTCCCAACAGTTAATTGAATTTCCTGGTGGTAGAGGTGAAATTGTTTATCTTCCTCTCATCACCCCCATTCGTATGTGCACAATATGCAGTGCGCACCCCTTTAGGATCACACAGAACGGTGAACTGACTGCGTGTTGACCAAGTACATAAAAGTGGTCCTTGCAGTACTCTTAGTTCTTTCGGTAAAGTCACGTAGGTAAAAAATGAAATTAAAATACCACCTGGATTTAAAATAAAATAATAAAATCACAGCGATTTTATTATTATTTTTTTTACATTTTAATTTCATTTTTTACCTACGTGACTTTACCGAAAGAACTAAGAGTATGAATCCTTGCAGTCACGAAAGCTTCAAATCTAGAATTGGGTGCTTCCAGTGACATCACAGCGACACACTCCTCCGCTCCTGATGCAGTTTTTTGGCTCAGCCATCGAACAAAGGTGGTCAGCGCATCGCGCGCTTTCCGATTTGCTTCTGCGGCCGTCTGGAAAGCTCTTCCAATATTAGGAAGCCACTGGAACTACGTACTTTAAAAATATTCCTGATTGAAAACTCATTTCTTTAGAACTGCTTTTTTGTGTTTAGTTTGTTGTCCTTCCTCCGCACCTCTGATTATCACGGTTGGCTTCGTACGGTGCTAAATAAGTTTTAAACATACATACATTGCAAACCTGAATGTGAAATTGTAGTTGTTGCTCTGCGTCTACATCAGCCGTACGAAATAAGAAGTGACAGAAGTGACTGAGCATGCAAAAAATTGCAAACAGTGTTGAACCCGCAGTGCTGCTGAGATGCTGTTCAAGATGGATACTCATTATTTGTGCGTCGTTTCAGTGTGGCCGGCCTCATTTGTCTGTATGACAAGACGTCTCGGACCGTATGTGGCCTGTGGCCCCGTAGATTCCCCCCCCACCCCCCCCGGCTCAAAGAGTTGTGGTCAATAGGTGGTCGAGGCCAACGCCGCTGGTGCAATCGCGACTCGCCAACGAATCGCGACTCGCCAACGGCTGATATAGCACAAGCAGACACCTGCTGCTGTCGCCAATATCTGCCATAAATTAAAGTTGTGGAACCTATCCGGTTCCCTGGGCTGTAGGTTTTTTGACTGTCGGTGTCGCTATCCATTGGACGATGTTGGTATTGCAGAAGCAATTCTGCATGCTATAGAACGGTGGTTTTTACATGGGTGGAAATAACCCGATTTTTCCAGCCGCAGGCATCGGGTTTTTTCTTTAATACAATTTAACCCGATTTCGGGGAATTAAAACCTGGTTTAATGAATACGAAACTCTGATCCAAGGCTTAGGCTGCTTCCTCGTCGGTGCTGTTATCGTACTCGGGGGGGCCGTCGGGCACGGGGTAGTCGTAGAATGCGGCGGGCAGGTTGGTCTTGATGAACACGAGGAGCTTCTCCACAATCGTGGGCGCCGCCAGTGAGTTCCTTAGCTTGGAATGGACGAAGCCCGTCGTTGAGAAGTTGGCGAAGTGCGGTTCTGCAATTAGAACCAATTAAACCGGATTTCTCCCAATCTCAGATGATTGGGTTTAATATAAAAAGACAATTAAACCCGATTGTAAAAAACCCGACTGTGCCACCCTTGGGTTTTTAACTTGGGGTGCACGCAACCGCTGGGGGTGCGAGATGCCTTTTCTGTGTGAGACATGCCACATTATTAGTAGTTAAATAATCGAAAATACAAATTAATCACGGGCACGTAAGTACAACTACTTTGTTTTATCAAACCCTATGTGTTTATAGTAAAGGTTTAGAACCATGGTATCGAGGTAAATTGTCCTTGTTGATGTCCAAGGCTCTCGCTAATTGGCTTTAAAACAATCTCAATATATAGAGAACTGCAGGGCAATTTATTGGCGCTGGCTCTGCCGCCTGGCATCCCTTCCAGCTTCTTGTAAGTGGTTCCTCAGCGACGGTGAGATAAATTCTTCATGAATGACACGATACAAAATGTAAATATTGTGAGTTTACTCTCCGACACAAAGGGTGTGCTGGACTTGTAACTAATTTGCACGTTTTGTTTACGTGAAACACCTTACTGATTGGCTGCGTCGGGTGGTGGCGGGTTTGACGACACATTTATATTTACGCGATATCACCCAAAAAGAAAACCAACCTCATGGATAATATTGTTTGAGAAAGCCTAGGTGTAAATTTTGATTTTTTTTGTCTGGAGCCTTTGGCAAGGACGTGGCCACCGACACGTGCGACGTTTGCCCGCAGGAGAGCCATGAGAGGCTGGTGGCTTGCGGGAACATGGAGCTGCGCGCGCTGTGCACAGTGGTTGAGGCCGGCGGTGCGTGGGACACCCCTGAGATGAAGGCCATCCTGGAGGAGAAACCCCTGGACGCCGATCGAGGTACTGACTCCACCGACCGAGCGTCCCACCCACCCACCCACGCACTCACCCACTCACCCACCGATCCACCCACCCACCCAGCCAAAAGCCGCTGCGAGGATGACCGGAGTCAACTTCTTGGTTCTTTCGGTAAAGTCACGTAGAAGGAAAACAATAAAATAATAAAAAATAAAACATAATAAAATAATAATAATTATTTTATTATTTTCCTTCTACGTGACTTTACCGAAAGAACCAAGAAGATGAATCCCTGCAGTCACGAAAGCTTTAAATCGTAAGATGACCGGAGTCTTTGACGAGATCGGCAAGGTGGTTGGTGACGGCGACGATTCTTCTTGTTGTGTCGGCGCAGTCGACACGTACCTGGAGGGGGAGGGCGCGCCGCTGCTGGAGCTGCGGCTGAAGCGCCTGGTGGCTCTGGGCTGGCTGCCGTGTGCGCTGGCGCTGGCCCGGTGCTGCACGCGCCAAGCCGCCCTCTGCACGGCCACGCCGTTCTTCCGCCAGATGCACCTGTCCCTGCTGTGCGAGTCCACCTCCTCCAACCAGGAGCTCATGCAAGAGGTGAGGAGCGATGCAGGGGGGGGGGGCTGGGTTGGGGGTTGTTGGGGAGTGGCCTGGGTAGAATGTGGCGTTGGGTGGCACGTGATGGGAGAAAGTTGAGTATAGCGGTCATGAGAAAGATGAGTTACTTTCATGGTGAATGTGTGTATGTATGTTGAACTTGTTTTGCATTGTACGTAGCCAACCATTCTCATCGGAGGCGTGGGGGAAGGATGACAAACTATGGGTCTCTTTCAGTTTAACACGTAGGGTTTAACGAAACATTTATATTTCCGCCATCTAATCCAAAAAATCCTATATTATGGGTCTCTGTTAGTCTATGGGTCTTTGTGAGTCTATGTATGTCTGTGTTGAACTTCTTTCGCACCGTACGTAGCCAACCATGCTAATCAGGTTGAATAAGAAGGGGAGCGACTTAGGCAACACGGGGTTAGCAAGGTGCTGGCGACCCGAGTTAGGGGGGTGAGGGATGGTTGAGTCAAGAACAAGGGGCTTCGTTGCGATGTGGAGGGCTGTCAAGATGAGGAAGTGAGTGCAGTCAGGATGAGAAGGTGGGGCGATCGAGGGCGAGAGGTGAGTGGAATGGCAGGGATGAGAGAATGCTTCGGGGCAAGTGGGGTAAGGAAGAGAGAGGCAGTTGAGGTGAGGAGGAAGAGAGGTCAGATGGGGTTGAGGGACGGGTTCAGCTGGGGTGCGCGAGAGAGGGTCACTCGGAGATTTGGAAGAGTGGCGGTCGAAGTAAGGAGGTGGGTGGCCAGAGTGAGGGGGGGTGATGGTGTTTGGAGTGAGGAAAAGGGGGTCAGTGGAGGTGAGGAATAAATAATGGTGGTTTTTGCGGTTGAGGAATTGGAGCGTATCGGGGTGAGGAAGTGAGAATTGTGGAGGTTGTTGCACGATTCACAACGACCATGTTGGGAGCTTCCCGATTGAGTGTTGCCGGCGCCGAACTCTCCGACGCCGTTGGAGCCCCTGCAGCTGCTGCTCTTGCCGCTGTCTCCGCGCGGTCTCGTTGACGCGCCCGTGCCCTGCCCGCAGGTGGAGGCCCTGGATAGCAGCGAGGCCGTGGAGATGATTTGCAACCTGGAGGCAGCGGGGCACGTGCGTACCGCCCTCGTGCTGTGCACGGCTGTGCTCACGCGCCAACTGCACCGCGGTGACCTCAAGTGTTCCTGGTAAGGCACCAGCCGGCGCCAGACGGGGGGGGGGGGGGGGCGCGGGACACGCTGCCCGCACCCCCCCCCGCCCCCCGTTGGGTGATGTTAAGCCATCGCTCGCAAGCATGTGTTTATCAGAACCTGCCGATAGCCGTATTGTGTGGGGTGGTTCGGTGGCGCAAAGGTCACGGCGCTCAGTCTGCAACCGCTAACGTCCTGGGGTTTGGTTCTCAGGCATCCAGCCGCCTGCGAAAAGCCAGGTTCTGTCGCGAGTCGATGGTTACCAAAAAGCCCATCGTGTTAAAATTGGTTCTGCACTTAATTTGACTCAATTCCAGCTCCTTTTTCCTGACTTATTTGTTCAGTTTTGTTACACCCCTCCCCTCCAATTTATAAATTGTAAATATATTCTCACAAGTGCAATTCGATGAATTTTTTTTTTTCCTTCGTGAATGCCGCCATCCACGGCACGCCTGTTTACATCGTTAAAGTTAGCAATTACCGGCACGGGCTACAAACATTTGCAGAGATGGACCCTGAGACCTCCGATTGGCACGGTTGGCTTCGTACGGTGCGAAAGAAGTTCAACATACACACATACGAGAATGCCCCAAAAGGGCCGCCCCTACCACCTGACTTACCACGCCCCGTACCCATAGGGATTTATCTCTGCAAAGCGAACGGGTGCAGCGTTGGCTACAGACACATTTTATTGTTAAAATAAATGTAAGAATCAACTTGCGTCGATCAAACAACTCATCATTACAAGCCGGCTTTTCCAGTGTTTTCAGCTGCTCGTTAATTAAACAAATCTGCTAAGTTACATTGCAAATTCTAAAGCCAAGCGTAGCAATATCATAACGTGAATCAATGTTACTAACTTCAGCCTAGTATACCGTTTTCCCCGTATCGCAAGACACTCATATTTCCCTCCTGTATTTGAAAACAAAAGTTAAAACTATAAAAACTATAAACGCTTATATTTTCCATAATAGAGGTTTTTATTTACCAGGTAATGCCCACTGATCTATGCAGCTCTTTTTCAGAAGCAACCTATAAGCCACGAATGATAGCTCAACAAAGTGGCTTATCATTATTGGCACATTTATAACATCCAAATATTCTAAAACGCATGTTTCTAAATGTGGAGGGAAAGACCGGAGGACCTGGAGAAACATTCACGTGACCACCGGGAGACACATGCAAACTCCAAACATACAAGCGTCAGGGTCAGGATTAAACTCAGGCCAAGGGAGTTAACATCTCGCCATGTCCGGCGCCCTGTGGCTGTGTGTGCGACTGTATTGATGTCGGGCACAAGTATTAGGATTTTGGGAGCGTCTTATAATCTGAAGAATACAGTCATTGTTGTTAGCGTCGTGGAAGCATCAAACGTGTAGAAACAGCCCCACGCGCACGCCTCGTGCGATGCTGTCTCCCTGCTTTCACTGTGGAATTATCGTTTGGCCATCCGCCAAGTTTGAAGTGTCTAGTCGATTCCAGACATCTTTTGTTCCACTGTGAGAACGGAGCTGAGAGCTGTTGGTTAAAAAACTAAATAGGTTTAATAATTAACGTATGAAAACAGGATGGGGGGGGGGTGGGTTTGTGTGGTTGCAGAGCTAAGCTTGACCCATTGCGACATGAACCCGTCGACATGAACCCGTCGACCTGATTCCCAACCCACACCTAACATCAGCAGCGAGTGACATCTGAACCAAACTTGGCCCACCTCCCTCCCTCCCCACTTTCACTATCTCACACTGACCAGCGCGATAAAGTCTGGTCAAAGAGCCCCCCATACCTTGCACGGAATGGGCAAACCTTCATTGGCAAAGCGGCTGTGAAATGCATTATTTGATAGGATAACAAAAAAAACGCATGCATGCTTCTGTATAACATTGTACAGAGAATGACGTTTTGATTTAAAGCTTTCGTGACTGCAGGGATTCATCTTCTTGGTTCTTTCGGTAAAGTCACGTAGAAGGGAAATAATAAAATAATAAAACATAATAAAATAATTCTCACGACGTTTCGGCCACAACGCAAGCAGACGTCCTCAGGTGAAGAACAGGGCTGTCTTTCCCACGTGTCTTTGCCGAAAGAACCAAGAAGAGAATGACGTGCTGTGGAGGTTATTACCACTGGTAGCAATTTGTGAATAAGTTGAGAGGGAGAGAAAGGATTTTTATATTTATATTCAATTAGGTTTCATATTCTTAGGTTTTTTCGGTAAAGTCACGTAGGTAAAAACATTAAAATTAATAAATTTTCTTAGGTTTTTTCGGTAAAGTCACGTAGGTAAAAACATTAAAATGAATAATGTTTTTACCTACGTGACTTTACCGAAAAAACCTAAGAATATGAATCCTTGCAGTCACGAAAGCTTCAAATCTAGAATCAATTAGGTTTATTTACCAACCTGTTCGACCCAAGTTGTGTCAGACGAGGCGTGTTAAGTCAAGGAGAGGCTGGTGTGAGGAGCATGGCGCGAGGTTTGGGGGGAGTTGTCGCTTCGTGTTAAACAAGCGAGAGCTGTTTGGATAATAATCGCCCATTACAAGGGGGCGCCTAGGAGCAAAGGCGTTGATATATTTTTGTTGTTTAGACTGGGCTAGACGTTTTTTTTTTCATTGAGCGTTGGGCTGTGCGCATGGTAAGTGCCAATTGAGCCGTGGACTTTAACCCATCAGGTTTCACCCCCACCAAACCTCCACCCCCAACACCATAAGCTCACAGCACAGCCCCCCATGGAATAGATTCTTCGGTTGTTAATCAACAGCCAACCTCCAGACTACAACATCACGTAATCCACACACACACAAAACACCCTTCTGATGCCTGCCATTCCGTTCAGCATTACTTCTTCTGCACTGGTTTGTTCACATTGATAGTTAAATTCTGGCCATGTGACTCATTATGGATGCTCTTGCGAAAAGCACATTGGAAACTCTGATGTTCACTCGGTCAAATTGAGCGTGTATTGGCAGTGGCTTAGTATGCGTCCTGGTGCCAGGAATTTAAATGGTGGGGGGGGGGGGGCTACCTGTCCAAACTCCCCCTGCCCCTCTTCTTACCCCTGCGCTTGGGCCCTCTGGCCTGTTCGCCATGGTTTTGAAGGGTCATCGAATGCTGACTGTTGAGCCGTTGACCTGTGACCCCCGCTGTGCCGCAGGGAGCTGACCCTCTTCTGGAGCAAGCTGCAGCGGCAGGCAGAGACGTTCGACCCCAACATGTTTCTGGAGTCATGTCGCCAACTCGCTGCTCTCTCCAAGAATGTCTACCATCTCTTCTTCCTCATCAAAGTCATCCAGTCGGAGGTGCAGCTTCCACACTAGTAGTGCCATTTATGGGCACATGAAATTGGAACGCGTGAATTGTGTCCGTCTTCAGCGATTTACAGGTCCCCTGTAACCAGTGGCATTGGTAGTTTTAAATGCATGGTGGTCACACACGTCGGCAATATCTCATCGCCAATCCTGTTTGCCTAAGAATAAAAACCGAAATTCCGTTCGTTTTTATTCTTTGGCAAATTAACACAAATGTAATATAATGAGGCTAATTACAAAATAGATATTTTGTTGATGGGTAGGTCACGTGCGATGTGGTAGTGTGGCGGTTGGCGCACTGCGCTACGAACCCGGCGATCTGAGTTGGATTCCCGCTCACGGCCAACACCAGCGACGATTATCTGAACCGGTCCTGGGCCTCCCCTAGATTGACTCAGCCTCCAATGACTCCCTCGTGCAGTGTGTAAACATCGTCACTGGGGAGACAAAGGCGGCTGAGCGTGGTGCTGGCCCCCCGCCCCCTTGTGTACCGTACCGGCCTTCATAGGTGCTCAATAACAGCACTTGCCCCCGACAGTGTTAAGGCTACACGGGGGATTCTTGTCTTTGTATTTGAAGACCGCTGGCCAGCGTGTAAAGAATAAGTCAAAATACACATTCGAGGGACTCCCTGGAGCCTCCTGAGCTAACGGAGCTCTCTGTGCCAGCAGTGGCATGACCAGGAAATTTCAGCCTTGCACCTTACAGCAACAAAAAAAAGCATGAGTTCTTGTCACGCAACGGCAGCGAAGCGTTGACGTCTGGCTGATGCAGTTCTTCCCGGTGTGCAGACGCAGGCCGTGGGCTCGTCAATGTGCGTGGAGCTGTGCGTCCGCGGCCTTCGCATGGAAACCAAGGAGGAGGGCCACGGCATCACGGCGTCGCTCTGCAAGACGGTCGGCTGCCTGCTGCCCGACGACCTGGAGGTGCGGCGCGCCTGCCAGCTCACCGAGTTCCTCCTGGAGCCCTCCGTCGACGCCTTCTACGCCGTGGAAGCACTATACACGCAGCCCGACCAGCGCTACACCGAGGAGACGGGCCTCATCGCCAACTCGCTGCGCTGCGAGCTGCTGCTCCTGCTCAAGATGCACTGGCCCTTCGACCCCGAGTTCTGGGACTGGAAGAAGTTGAAAAGCCGCTGCCTGATCCTGCTGGGCGACACGGCGCTGGAGATTTGCTCGGCCGAGGAGCTCAGGGAAGCCATCGAGGTGCCCGTCAAGGTGGAGAAGGTGGAGGCGGCGGAGGCGAGCGAGGAGAAGCCCATCATCTCCGCGGAGGATGACCGCATCTCGTGGCGGGAGGTGCTGTCCAACACGAGCCAGCACACGCGCTCCAACGGCCTCAACGGCGGCCGCCGGCAGATGAGGTCCCTCGGCGGGCAGCGCATCGCCACGCCCATCTTCCACAAGTGCAGGCTGTGCCGGCGCGAGGTGCTGGGCCACCGCATCGTGCGGCACTCGCAGAAGCACATCGTGAACGGCGCGCTGCTTTGCCCTCTGTGCCCCAAGGAGTTCCGCGAGCTGCAGGACGGCCTGTGGCACGTGCAGATGCACGTGAAGCGCGTGCGCCACATGATGCAGCTGCAGAAGAAGAAGCTGTTCAGCTCGGAAAGGCTGTCCGGGGACGACGACGACGACAGAGGAGGGGACAGCAGCGACAACAGCAGCAGCTCGTACGGGCGCCCCATCAACCACCGCCGGGTGAGGAAGAGCACCGGTTATGGCAAGGATTTTATCACTTTCAGTGACCCCGAGGGCTCGGACGATGAGACTAAAGATCTTTCCTATCTCCCCGATAAGGCCAATGGAGCCGCGGAGCCGGCGAGGACCGAAGAGACCTTCGTGTGCCCGGCGAACGGCTGCCAGAAGCTGTTCAAGTACTTCAAGAACATGTTGGCCCACGCCAAGATGTTCCACGGCGAGGACGAGGAGCTCATCGACGCGCTCGTGCAGCAGCAGGAGGCGCGCCGGCGTAGCTGCCGCTTCTGCAAGAGGAAGTTCGAGACGACCGACCACCAGAAAGACCACATGAAGATCCACCGGGGGCCGTGCCCGTACGTGTGCATCCAGGCGGACTGCGGCAAGCGTTTCCGCACCGCCGAGGAAGTCGACGAACACTCGCTGCGGCACAAGCACTTCAGGGCCGTGTGCAGCTACGGCGACTGCCCCGAGCGCTTCAGCCAGAGGCACCTGCTGTACAAGCACGAGGCGAAGCACTACCAGTTCGGCGTGTTCTCCTGCTCCGTCAACGTGTGCGACATGTTCGGCGTGGGCCCGCGCAAGCCCATCTCCAAGCTGCGCGTGAAGCAGGGCGACAGATCGAACGGCGGCGGCGGCGGCGGCGGGGGCGGCCGCGGCGGCGGTGACAAGGCGCAGAGCCGCAGGGGCCGCCCGCGCAAGGCGCACTCGGATCTCGTGATGATGTTACCAGAGAACCTGGAGGACGGCGACGTGATGGTCGACCCCAAAATGCGCAACGCACTCGGCACCGTCGGCACGGCTCAGGGCTTCGTCAAGGTGAAGAAGAAGGCGCTGAAGCAGTTCCTTTGCGGCATCAACGGCTGCACGCGCGCCTACACGTGGCTGAGGAGCCTGAAGCAGCACATCGTGATGTCGCACGAGGAGCACAAGCAGGTGGTCACCAAGGAGCGCCACCTGCTGCCGGGCACGCTGCACGGCGAGGACGGCACGGCCGGAATGTTTGGTGGCGGAGCGGCGAGCGGCGCCCTGCATGCCCTGCAGAAGGCTCAGCGCGAGAGGGTCCGGTCGCGTCCGCTGCAGCGCCAGATTAGGATCCGGACCGGGTGCACGCACAACCGCTACGCCAAGTGGCCGGCGATCTACAAGAACGGCAAGTTCATGTGCAGCCGGTGCTTCTCGGTTTTCGACAACCCCAAGTCGCTGGGCGGGCACCTGGCCCACAAGAAAAACTGCAACCCTCCCTTTGGGAGGTCTGGGGACAGCGACGAGAACGAATCGAACGAAGCGATGGCGGGTGAGCGGGGGGAGGAGGAATCGGCGTTCAAATCGGAGGATAACGAGATGGTGATGATGGACACATTTAATGACGACGACGATGACGACGGAGTTGACGGGAGCGATGGCGCTGCTAAGGAGGATCTGGATGACGTGCCTGGTGAATGCAAGAGGCTACTGCCGTCCGCCAGCGCGGGCTTCCCGGATGCCCGCGGTGACGCCCACAACGTGATGGCACAGGGGAGGACCCAGGCCGCGCGTCAAGAAGCCGCCGTGTTATCGCGCGTGAATATGAAGCAAGGCACCCTCCGGCAGGCCAACTTGCTGTGCTCCGACGCGTCCGAAGGTGGCGAGTTCCAGGCCTTGTCTGGCCATGCCCAGCAGCTCGCCTTCGTGAAGACGGAAGACTTCAGCCCGACCGCCGACGCCGACCTGTCCGGCACTTCGCAAGCGCTGGACGGGTCCTTGGAGAGTAGTTCCAGCGACCCGTCCTACAGGCCGCCGCCGCTCGAGAGGACGGACTGGAGCTCAAACTCGTCGGATTCCTTCATCCAGCCGTGCGAGAATCTCATGCCCAGCAGCAGCCCCGCGGCGGAGGTGACCGACCACTTCAGGCAGGCGTACGCCGTCAACTCTCAGGTGGACCCGTCCATCAACGTGGACCCGTACAACCAGCCGTACGATGGGCCGGTGCCGGGCCTCCTGAGCTCCTCAGACCCTCCGCTGCCATCATTCGACGGCTGCGCACCGACGTCGGCACCATACCCCTACAGGGCGCCGTTCACGGGCGCCGACGGTGGCGTGTCGGAGCGGCCGCTGTCGTCGTCATCCTACAAGCCGCCGTTCTCGAGCCCCGAGATCAACCTCGCCGATTCCGCGTACCTCTTCAAGCCTCCGCCGCCGGACCTGAACGCCGAGGGCATGATGGGGCAGTACGGCGACGCGGACGGCGGCGCCCCGCCCGGCTTCCGGGCACACGTGGAGATGGTTGGCGTTGAGACGGTGGAGCCTGGTGCGTTTTCAACCGACCTGCAGCCGTCCGGGGTCTACCCCACCATCCAGGGTGGACTCTTCGGGGAGATGAGCGTGAGCGAGATTTTGGAGACGGTGCGGCAGATGGACTTTGAGAACCCGGACGGAAGGGCCGAGGCGAACGGCGCGGCCAACGCCAGCGTGTGGTCGGGCACCAATTACGATCAGCACTACTGGAGTCCCGGCGCGGGCGACGGCGGCATGGGACAGCCGAGGTTCGGCTTCGATGACGAGTTCTTCCCAGAGTTTTCCGACAGCGTCGACGCGCAGGTCGTGAAGCAGCCGAGGAAGAGGAAGCGATCGTCCGACGAATCTGATCGCCCATCCAAGATGAAGATCAGGCCCTACGTTTGCCACATCTCACTTTGCAAGTACGGGGCGCTGACGCGGTGCGCACTGGTAAACCACTACACAAAAGTCCACAGCTACAGCAAGAACGACGTTGCTCAACTGAGCCACTGCCAGTCCACCTTCACGCCGTTCCGCTGCGTGATGCCCGACTGCAAGAAGTCGTTCACCCGAAATTCCAACCTCCGGTCGCACTACCGTGGGTGCCACAAGATCGACGAAGTCCAGCTGGAGAAGCTGTGCCGTGCGTCCCTCAACGCCCTGGCGCCGCCGACGCTGCTGCTCGACTCGGCGGCGGTCGGATGCAGCTCGGAGGAGATGGCCGACGAGAAGCCTCCGCCGCAGCAGCAGAAGATACTGGTGCCCCCGCCGACCACCCTGGCCACGGGGCTGCCGCAGGAGGACGGCGCCGGGCCCACCTGCTCGACTCCCGTGCACCACATCGTCAAAGTGGAGCCCAACGAGGAGCACGGGGCGGAACTTGGCGACCTGGCACCGCCGCACGTGACCGCTCCGGACATGGCTCCGCCGCCGCTGTCGCCGCCGATGAGTGGCGATCGGGACCCGGCTCGCAAAAGTGTTGACATGGTGAAGGAGGAGTGCCTGAGGGAGGCCATCAAGTTGGAGAGGAAATGGAGCTCGTCGCTGAGCGAGCTCTTGCAGTCGAAAGAGTCGCCGGTTGACCAGGAGCAGGCCGCCGCCACCGCCGGCAGCAGCGGCGTTGTCGGCGGCTGCGGTGAATCCAGCAAAGGATTAAGCGACAAGGCCCTGCAGAACTTCATCAAGGCGAGGATCAACGCGAAGGTGAAGCAGAAGATCAAAAACAAGATCAAGCAAAAGGGCATCCGCTGCACGTTCAAGTGGTGCAAGGCGTTGTTTGACACGGAGGAAGAGCTGCAGCAGCATGTGGTGAAGCACAAGGAAGAGCCGCCCGTCGTGAAGATAATGCGACTCTACAAGTGCAACCTCATCGAGTGTGGCAAGTCGTTCACGCAGCTGTACAAGCTGATACGCCATTACTCCTACAACCACCACATGACCCTGGAGGAGGTGCGGAGCACCATTCCGACCGAGTACATCAGCGAGTTCCGCTGCGACCAGCCCAACTGCCTGGGCTCCTTCACACGCTTTTCAAACCTCCAGCGGCACCAGCAGAGCCAGCACGGCATCAACTTCGAGGCGCCCAAAAAGAAGCCGTTTGCGTGCAACTTCTCGGGGTGTAATGCCTCATTCGGCGTGGCGCTCAACCTCCAGGCTCACATCAAGCAGAAGCACCTCGGCGGCAAGGATGGCCCGCGCCTCTCCGACTCTGACGGCGGCGTCCAGATCTCGGAGTGCGAGCAGAGCGGCACCACGGACGAGAGTGAAGAGCTCAGCAGCTCCGGGGACCAGTGCTCGCTTGAGAACGCATTCAAGGTGAGCAAAGAGGAGATGCCCGACGTCCCGCCGGCCTCGGACATGGAACATTGTGAGCATCAAAAGCAGCAGCAGCAGCCGCAGCAACAGCAGCAGCATCCGCAGCAACAGCAGCAGCAGCATCCGCAGCAACAGCAGCAGCAGGAGCATCCGCAGCTGCAGCAGCATCAGCAGCAACAGCAGCAGCAGCATCAGCAGCAACAGCAGCAGCATTTGCAGCAGCAGCATCAGCAACAGCAGCAGCATCCGCAGCAACAACAGCAGCATCTGCAGCATCCGCAGCAGCCGCAGCAACAGCAGCAGCAGCAGCCGCAGCAACAGCAGCAGCAACAGCAGCAGCAACAGCAGCAGCAACAGCAGCAGCAGCAGCTGCAGCAGCCAGAGAAGTGTGCTGTGACGGAGGCTCCGCCCGACGTCCCGTCTGCGACTACAAAGAGCGGCGGTGACGATGCTGCACCGCAAGGCCCCCCGCCAACCGCCATCTGCCCCAGCTTACTGAAAACGGAGCTAGAAATGCTAAAGATTTGCAAAAAGGACATATGCAAAGATCAGTATCCTTGCATGCTCAAGGAGTGTGCAGGAGTTGTGCGCAGCCAGTATAGCCTCATGAGACACTACAGAGTGGTTCACAAGATGCCCACGACGCAATTAAATTTCAACTACAAAAAGCTGGTAATCTGTCGGGGCTACGAGTACATTTGGCGCAAGTGGAATGAAGGTTTCCTCGACAAGATGCAGGAAGGGAAAACCGAGCCGAAGCCTCTGGAAAAGCCGAAGCAAGAAGGAGTGTGGAAAGAGATGCAGAGTCAGCGAGTGATTAAAGTTGAGCATGACCCGCGAGTGATTAAAGTTGAGCATGACCCTGACATTTTACACAATGGTGTGCGCATGCTGCTCGAGGGTGACCTGGAGCCGTCGGGAATAATCAATCGGTGCGGAGAGCTGATCCCGATGCCGCAAGATTCCAGCTCGAGTTTCTCGACCACCACGACTTTCGACGTCGTGAACGGCAGTGGCACGGAGACTATGAACTTTTTGTCCAACGTGTCTGGATTTTCAAAGGGCGCTCTCGGCTCCCAGAATCAGCTGCGAGCCCAGACGGCGATGAAGCGCGTTCCCGCAAAGCGGCTGGACAAGAAGTGCATCTTGAAGGGCGTCTCGGTGTCCGACCCGAAGCGCAGGCGAGGCCGCCCGAGGAAGCTGCCCGACCAAACGGACGCCGCCGCGGTTGCCGGCACGACGGAGGCGACTTCGGAGCCGCCACAAGCGTGCGAGGGCGCCGCGCAGGTCACCTCGGAAGTCCAGGGAGACGGGGAGTCTTCGAAAGGTGAGCAGCAGCAGCAGGCCGAGACGACCCCGCCGCCCACTGCCCTGCCACCACCACCCCCCGCGCCCGACAAACGCCCGGCCGCTGTTGAGCGCGAGCGTCCGCTGCAGCAGCTGCTGGAGAACGTCAAACCCGTGGGCTTCGAGTCGTCGTTTATCAAGTTTTTGCAAAACTCGCAGATCCACAGGCAGCAGGGCGGCGGCGGCAGCGGCGGAGGAGGAGGCGGGGGCGGAGGCGGGGGCGGCCGCGGCAGTCGCGGCGGTCACAAGGGGATGATCTGGGTGAAGCAAGCGGACGGCAGGCAGAAGCCCCTGCAGGCCACGCGCAGGGCTCACGGCGTCGCGCCCATGCGGGGAATGGGCGCGGGACCTCTGCACCTGCGACGGTCGGGGCCGGACGCGCACAGGCACCCGGTGCTGCACCCGCTGGAGAACAGGAGGTCGAGCTTCGAGGAGGTGATAGTCATCCCGGGAAAGGTCTCCGGGCACGTGAAGGGGCTGCGTCTGGTGCTGGACAAGCGGCTGCTTCAGCACACGCAGCTCAAGGTGAAGCAGCTGCTGTCCTTGAAGCCTGTGGTGATCCTGGAGAGGCTGCAGAGGAACTCTGATCCGCGGGACTCTCTCCTGCCAGTGGCTGTGGATCTGCAAGCGTAGCGTTGTGCGTTCACACAATGATCGTCAGCAGTATTAATGTGTCTAGTGACGAGGGCTGTGAGCATGTATTAAAAAAAAATGAATGAAAAAAAATGTCACGTTCGGGAATCGACCTTTTTAATTTTATCTATTGTGTTTGGGTTAATTATTTTCTGGAAAACACGTTTAGTTGTAAGGTGGTATGTACATAGTGGTTTTCATTTTCAACCTTGTAAAAAAACTCCCATTACACCAGTGAAACCGCCTGTTAATGTAGACTTATAGCAGGTTTGCCTTTTATTTACAAACTATCATGTTCTCTGCTAAGGATACAATTGTTTTCCCCACAATGCCAATGTAACATTTCTGTGTTGTGACCTGATGGTGCTCTTTTAATTGATATTGCCACGTTTACCGTGTAAACTCCACTGGCAACGAAACATTGAGTTTATACTATCAGTTCAGTTTTGTTTTTCCATTTAGTCTTTTTTTCTGGTTTGAGTTTTGACTTTGGTGTATAGAACGTCGCTTTACGGGGCTTGCTACGAAACGACTTTATAATAAACTTAAAAATTAATGAAAACCTTGCAGAGATACACTTGTATGATTTCGTGACCACGATGTATTGCTTTTGACTTATTTGTAACTCAGTAAATGCATTACTTTCAGTCGATGGCTGTTGTCCATTTGTCACCACAGCGGTACCTTTTAGAACAATTGTGTTTTTCTACATGCAGAGTAGTTGATGCAAATTCACAGATGAGCGTGCCACATGAGCCAAGATTGTTTAACACGTAGGCTTTCGCGACCTATATTTGTAATAAAGGTTTTTGGGTTAGATCGCGTTATTTATAAATGTGTCGTAACCCTCCACCACCCGACACGGCCAAACAGCAATTTGCCCGATGAAGCGGGATATAATTACCAGCGAAACGTCGTACTACTCAAAATTTTAAATTCTGTTGATTCACTCTTCAACACACCGGTGGGCTAAAGTAGTGAACTATTTGTGTTTTATATTTTTGGTTCTTTCGGTAAGTCACGTAGAAGGGAAATAATAAAATAATAAAAATATAAAACAATACAATTCTCACGACGTTTCGACTGCAACACAAGCAATCATCATCAGGTGTGAAATCCACAGCAAGAAACTGTCGTTTGTCAACGTGACACATTTTTTACTGTTTGGCCGTGTCGGGTGGTGGAGGGTTACGACACATTTATAAATCACGCGATCTAAACCCAAAAACCTTTATTATGAGCCCAGATTGTGTTGGTCCAGGAGGTCCCCCCCGATCAATGCGGATTATTGTATGGATCTAAAATCGTCATTATCATCGAATAGTGACCAGTGGCATCGTGCCAATGTCATGTACGAGTTGTGCGTTTAATTGTTCTCATTTCAGGTTTCTTGAAGGGCAGTGTCGGAACTTTTTCAGATTCACATTTAAATGTGTGAATGCAATAATTATAATTGGCTATGCCTTAATTTTAATAATGCATTATAATTGTTTAGAGTGTTTTTTCTTTTTAAAATGTTAGTCTTTACTATTCAATAAAAAAACACTTTTTTTATAACTTTAATATAAATAAAGTTTTGAATTTGTATATATATATTTTTATAAATTTGCTTTGTCACGTGTATAGAACAGAAGCTTCTACGGCATGCGGTGAGTGGGCATGCGGGCTCCATGACCAAGCCAACACAGCATCGCTTGCCGGAGTTCACCGAAACTTTCGTATCTTTCGAGGATCTGAGCTCCACGCAATCCAGCCTGGTTAAACCTCGAATCCACTGTCGGCAGGCGATGCTGAATGTCTCTCGCCCAGGGGTGGGCAACCTCCGGCTCCAGAGCCGCATGCGGCGGCTCTTTGGCTGCCCCCTTGTGGGCAGCAATTTACATTAAAAATAAATCTTAAACGCAATTTAACGTAAAGATAATTGATAAAAAATGGCACAGAATGGGGTCACTATGGAATGTCTTGGTGACAAAATGTACAACAGTCACAAACTGCATTGTTAAAGAAGAACGAAATGAGACAAAACTAAATAAACGCAGATTATTCCATCACCTATTTTGTTTAAGTCGGCACGTGTTGTCATCTGCAATATCCCTGCTGTTTGTGAACACAGCTCTGCGTGTGGTGCGCCTGTTGGAACTATTTTTGTCAAAGACAAAATCTAAAATTGGCTCCCTTTTTTAAGTTTAGCAACCCCCATCCCTGTTTTAGCGGGCACAGCTGTGCCTGTAAAGAGGTTCACATTTTCTTCTTGGTTCTTTCGGTAAAGTCACGTAGAATGGAAATAATAAAATAAAAAAAGCATAAAATAATTCTCACGACGTTTCGGCCACACCTGAGGGGACGGCTGCTTGCGTTGTGGCCGAAACGCCGTGAGAATTTTTATTATGTAAAATGTTTATTTATTATTTCAATTCTACGTGACTTTACCGAAAGAACCAAGAAGATGAATCCCTGCAGTCACAAAAGCTTTAAATCGAAATTTAGGTTCACATTTCCCAAGATTACGGAAGAGCGAACAAGTAGGCATCAGGCCCGGTAGCGTCCACACAGCGCCTGGCTCCAGACACAGAGGTCCTCTGTTCCTTGAAGTGTAATGCTTGTACTCTTAGGGTTTTTTCGGTAAAGTCACGTAGGTAAAAAGTAAAATAAAAAAATAAGAATAATAGAAATAAAATAATAAATCACGCCGTTTCGGAGGCAACACAAGTCTTCCTCATCAGGTGGGACCGTCACAGCTAAATGTACTGTATCAGGTGAGGCAAAATCCAAGAGACAAGCTCTTAAATACAAGTTAAGGGGGAGGGGGGGAGGGGTTTATCTGAATGTGGTAGCCAATGAATGGAATGGTGGGTGGGGCTAAAAGGGAACAATTGGTGCACCTGGGATTTTTCCTCACTTGATACAGTAAATTTAGCTGTGACGGTCCCACCTGATGACGGAGACTTGTGTTGCCTCCGAAACGTAATTTATTATTTTATTTGTATTTTTTTTTACCTACGTGACTTTACCGAAAAAACCTAATAGAAAAAAGCTAATAGAAATAAAATATCAATAAAACAATGATTTTATTTCTATTATTATTTCTATTATTTTTATTATTTAACTAACGTGACTATACAGAAAAAAACCTAAGAGGATGAATCCTTGCAGTCACGAATGCTTCAAATCTAGAATGTAATGCTTGTGTCCCAGTCGTAATGGGCGAGAACTCCATCACAGCACCTGTATCTGAGTTTACTCGGGTCAGAACATGCAACACAGGAGAGTTTCACAGTCCGATCTGCACCTCCCGTTTAGCGCGGCTGGCTACGTGCGGTGCGAAAGAAGTTTAACATACGGATGCCTGACGACCTCTGAACCATGTCAAGAGATGCGGACTGCCGATTTGAATCGGCAATCGTGTCACGAAAAGTACAAGTTCACTCAAGCTGTCGGGATGAATCGAGACATTATTTGGTGATGCTGCGTTGGCAGTGATGCAAAGCACAACATTTTCCTGCGGAGGGAGCTGGTAGGAACGTTGGGTTACTCGGTCAATGGCCAGGGTCAACGGCGGCGTGGTGTATTCCGCAAATATGCCCGACTGTGAGGGCGGACACAAGCCGGCGTGAGTAGGTTAAACGTTGAGTTTTATAAGGGCACCACGGGGTGACCAGCCCCTCCCCACCCAGCCCCACCCCCCAGCCAGCCCCACCATCCCCACCCAGCCCCTCCCCACCCTCCCTACCCAACCCCTCCCCACCCAACCCCTTCCCACCCTCCACACCCAGCCCCTCCCTCCTCACCCAGCCCCTCCATGCACGACGGACGGACACAATAATCCCCTGTGGGCTGGTGGAACCAGTGGGTCCCTACCAGTGTAACCAAACTCGACCTGACGAGCATTATATTTTCTGTTTGACACGAAGGCTTTCGCGACCGATATCCCGAAGGTTTTTTTGGGGGGTTCGATCGCGTAAATATAACTCGTTAAACCCACCACGATCCGACAGTCAATTCGTAAGGTTTGTCACGTGAACCCAACGTGCCAATTAGTTACTCATATTCTTGGTTCTTTCGGTAAAGTCACGTAGAAGGGAAATAATAAAATAATAAAAATATAAAGCAATAGAAATTCTCACGACGTTTCGACTGCAACACAAGCAATCATCATCAGGTGTGAAATCCACAGAAAGCAAATTTGAAAAAAGTGGCGGTTTGTGGAGAGGGGCTGGGTGGGGAAGGTGGGGCTGGGTGGGGAGGGGCTGGGTGGGGCTGGGTGGGGCGTGGGGCTGGGTGGGGAGGGGCTGGTCACCCCGTCGTGCCCTTATAAAACTCAACGTTTAACCTACTCACGCCGGCTTGTGCCCACCCTCACAGTCGGGCATATTTGCGGAATACACCACGCCGCCGTTGACCCTGCAGGCCATTGACCGAGCAACCCAACGTTCCTACCAGCTCCCTCCGCAGGAATGTGTTAAGTCCGATTTATGAAGATTTTGGGAAAGGCAGCAAAAACAACAGTCCCAGACCACGCCAAGATGCTGTAACACCACACAGTAGTCACTCATTAAAATCACATCGACATCTAACCTCTCGTGTTCTGTGAAGGGCCATTACCCGAAACGTCGCCTATTATAGATATCTGCTTCCTATGGCCGACGATGCAAATGAACAACTATACTTGTTACGTCATATGCATGAACTCCTCTACTTACGAACATTCGACTTCCGAACTTTCAGAGATCGGAACAAACCCCTTTCGTGTGTCCAGCTGCCTGTTCGGACCGAGCGTCGTAAGCCCAACCACCGCGCAATCGATGATGGCGGTGGCATCTACATCTGCAGAACATGAAGAACCAGTGGCATCTACATCTGCAGAACGTGAAGAATCAGTGGCATCTACATCTGCAGAACGTGAAGAATCAGTGGCATCTACATCTGCAGAACGTGAAGAATCAGTGGCATCTACATCTGCAGAACGTGAAGAATCAGTGGCATCTACATCTGCAGAACATGAAGAATCAGTGGCATCTACATCTACAGAACGTGAAGAATCAGTGGCATCTACATTTGCAGAACGTGAAGAACCAGTGGCGTCTACAGAACATGAAGAACCAGTGGCATCTACATCTGCAGAACGTGAAGAACCAGTGGCATCTACATCTGCAGAACGTGAAGAACCAGTGGCATCTACATCTGCAGAACGTGAGGAACCAGTGGCATCTACATCTGCAGAACATGAAGAACCAGTGGTATCTACATCTACAGAACGTGAAGAACTAGTGGCATTGCAAAACGTGAAGAACCAGTGGTATCTACATCTGCAGAACGTGAATTATTATCAGTGGCATGTACATCTGCAGAACGTGAAGAACCAGTGGCATCTACAGAACGTGAAGAACCAGTGGCATCTACATCTGCAGAACGTGAAGAACCAGTGGCATCTACATCTACAGAACGTGAAGAACCAGTGGCATCTACATCTGCAGGAGATTACAACTTTTAGAGGCAATCCCCGTGTTTAGTGTACACGCCGTACAACATGTTTGGATTCGACAGGAGTTAAAGTTGGGCTTACGAACAAATCGACTTACGAACAGACCTCTGGAACCAAGCTCGTTCGTAAGTAGAGGAGTCCCATGTATTACCAAGCCGTTCAACTCATTAGCATAATCATGACGTAATCACAATATAATTACCATATCATTTGCATAATATGAACGCGAACAGATTCACGAGAGCGTTCCGATTCTGCCCCCCCCCACACACTGTCCCCCCCTCCCCTCGGCCCGTGACGTCACTCGCGATGACGTCACCGACATAACATGGAGGTACGGGGCTGGCGTCACGTGACCGCTCATCTCGCTCTGCTGTTGGGCCTCTGCGCAACGCAGTACTGTATCTGATGTTAATATCGCTGCAATTAATATTATTGTTGTCGTTACGGTGTCGTTGTTATCATCATCATTAATCATCGATCATCGTTAATGCGTGTCTTTTTTTTTTAAACAAAAAAAAAACAATTCCTGAGGAGAATGCGCCGTGCCTCGTAACGAGTGTTATAGAAGTAAACAGGCGCTTGACTGCAACATCGGTAGCGGTGGTGATGGATGGTGGTTGTTGTTGATGACGGTGGTGGTTGTTGATGGTGGTGGTGGTTGTTGATGGTGGTGGTTGTTGATGGTGGTGGTGGTGATGGATGGTGGTTGTTGTTGATGACGGTGGTGGTTGTTGATGGTGGTGGTGGTTGTTGATGGTGGTGGTTGTTGATGGTGGTGGTGGTGATGGATGGTGGTTGTTGTTGATGACGGTGGTGGTTGTTGATGGTGGTGGTGGTTGTTGATGGTGGTGGTGGTTGTTGATGGTGGTGGTTGTTGTTGATGATGGTGGTGGTTGTTGATGGTGGTGGTGGTTGTTGATGGTGGTGGTTGTTGATGGTGGTGGTTGTTGGTGGTGGTGGTTGTTGATGTGGTGGTGGTTGTTGATGTGGTGGTGGTTGTTGATGATGGTGGTGGTTGTTGATGGTGGTGGTGGTGATGATGTATGGTGGTTGTTGATGGTGGTTGTTGATGGTGGTGGTGGTTGTTGATGATGGTGGTGGTTGTTGATGGTGGTGGTGGTGGTGATGTATGGTGGTTGTTGATGGTGGTGGTGATGGATGGTGGTTGTTGTTGATTGTGGTGGTTGTTGATGGTGGTGGTGATGATGTATGGTGGTTGTTGATGGTGGTGGTTGTTGTTGATGGTGGTGGTGGTGATGATGGATGGTGGTTGTTGATGGTGGTGGTTGTTGATGGTGGTGGTTGTTGATGGTGGTGGTTGTTGATGGTGATGGTGGTGGTGGTTGATTGATGATGATGGTGGTGGTTGATTGATGATGATGGTGGTGGTGGTGGGTGATGGTGGTGGTTGATTGATGATGATGGTGTTGGTTGATTGATGATGATGGTGGTGGTGGTTGATTGATTGATGGGTGATGGTGGTGGTTGTTGATTGATGATGATGGTGGTGGTTGATGGTGGTGCCGGTTGATGGTGGTGGTGGTTGATGGTGGTGGTGTTTGATGGTGGTGGTGGTTGATGGTGGTGGTGGTTGATGGTGGTGGTGGTTGTTGATTGATGATGGTGGTGGTTGATTGATGATGGTGGTGGTGGTGGGTGATAGTGTTGGTTGATTGATGATGATGGTGGTGGTGGTTGATTGATGATGATGGTGGTGGTGGTTGATTGATGGTGGGTGATGGTGGTTGTTGATTGATGATGGTGGTGGTTGTTGATTGATGATGATGGTGGTGGTTGATGGTGGTGGTGGTGGATGGTGGTGGTGGTTGATGGTGGTGGTGCCGGTTGATGGTGGTGGTGGTTAATGGTGGTGGTGGTTGATGGTGGTGGTGGCCACCCACCCCCTCGTGCGCCGTGTCGGCCTTCATCGGTGGCTACTCGCTAGCGACACTTGCCCCTGCAGTGTCAGCTCTGCCTGCATGGTGGGGGATCTTTGTCACCGATCTAAATCATCACGCTGCCATCAATCTCTCTCACTCATCCCATGGCACCCTGGTTCTGCCACGTGATCCCTTACTTGGCCTCTACGTGCACCTAGCCTGGCACAAGCGCCGTGCTGGCGGTAATGTAAATCATTAGGCTGCCATAAATCTCACTCATCCCATGGCACCTGGGTCTGCCACGTGATCCCTTACTTGGCCTCTACGTGCACCTAGCCTGGCACAAGCACCGTGCTGGCGGTAATGTAAATCATTAGGCTGCCATAAATCTCTCTCACTCATCCCATGGCACCCTGGGTCTGCCACGTGATCCCTTACTTGGCCTCAAGGTGCACCTAGCCTGGCACAAGCGCCGTGCTGGCGGTAGTACTGTAAATACAGGTAGTCCCCGAGCTACGATGGGGTCCGACTTACGATATTTCGATCTTACGATGGCGATAGCGATACGACAAAATTGCCATCAACAACCTTAACATCGTTCAAGTATGCAAACGAAGGACAGAATCTTGGTGAGCACAGTACAATATGATACGTTACGATACGTTCAATGCATGGTGTGATGCGTAGCTTTAGCGATTTCATTTAAGGTTACCACGATTCGATACGTTCAATGCATGTTAAAAATTTTATAGCAGATAGGATTGTTTCCTGAAAAAACCTTTCTATTAAATTGCAGTTCATATAGGTAGGCTAAGAATTTACTGTGCTTTTTTACTTAACATTTTACTGTGCAATACAGTATTGTAATTAATAAATACATACATTATATAGTTTATACAGTACGGTACTGTGAATTGCTCTGTTTTGCTAAATTATCACCATTCTTTAAGACTCCTGGGTAGGCTAGGCCATCTTCGACTTACGATATTTTCGACTTACGATGGGGTCGTCGTAACGCATCTCCGTCGTAAGTAGAGGACTACCTGTGATTAGGGAAGAAGCTCAAGACGTTGACGTGGGTTCGAGTTTGAGACCCAGCCTCGGGACGAGAGGAGGGAGATGTCTGGGTAATAATTATGGGTCTGTCTGTACCACGGCGTTGTTAACCAGCGTGCTGTGTACCAGGAGTGGACAACAGTGATATGGAGAAGGTCGAGCAAGAGGTGGAGCAGGAGATGGACGGTGGGATCATAGAGGAGTTGGAACGTGCTGTGGATGGTGGCACAACGGACGAGGTCGGGAATGAGACCGTGGAGGAGATTGAGTGGAAAAAGGAGGTGGACATCGGGGCAACGAAGGAGGTGGAGTTGAAGGAGATGTGCCATTGGACCGAGGAGGAGGTGGAGCAGCAGGTGGAGGAGATGGTGATGAAAGAGATGGAGATTAGAACTGTGGAGGAGATGAAGCACATTGACAATCAGACTGTGGAGGAGGAGGAGGTGGAGCAGGAGCGAAAGGAGGTGGACTTTGGCAATGTGGAGGTGGTGGAGCAGTTGAAAGGGGTGGACGGCCGGGCCGTGGAGGAGGTGGAAATGGAGGTGGAGCAGGACATGGACCACGGACATGTGGAGTTGATGAAAGAGATGGACGTTAGGGCTGTGGAGGAGGTGAAACAGAGGGTGGAACATGGAGGGGTGGAGAAGGTGATGAAGGAGGTACGCAATGGATCTCTGGAGCAGGTGGAGCAGGAGGTCAAATATGTAAACCCGAAGGAGGTGATGAAGGAGGTGGAAAACAAGGATGAGATGGTGCAGGAGGTGGACCGTGGGGCGGTGGAGGAGGTGGTGAGGTTGGAGTTAAATCAGGTGGATGATGTGGGTCATGCATGTTTGGATGTGGTTGATCAAACACCAATGCAGGTGGATCACAGGGCCAAGGAGGTGGCAGCGGTGGAGCACATCCTCATCAGCCAAGCACCCTCTGAAGACGGTTGCAGGGCAGAACATTTGAGCAGCGCAGACAAAAATGTGTTTCCAGGTCCCGTCACGACAGACTCCGAAACGGCGGAAAGCCGCCAGAGCACCGTGGCTCCCTGCAAACAGCACGGCAAGAACGTCGACGTCTGGACCGTGAAATGTGAGGGTGCCTCAGGTCAAGGCATCGCGAACGTGGAGGTCCACGGCGGTCGGTGTTGGTACGTGTGCGCAGAGGTGGACTGCGGCACAAGGTTCAGGAAGAGTCGAGACGCCCAACTGCATGAGCAGGTGCACCGCCTGTGTGCCCCCGTCTGCAACGTCGATGTCTGGGACATGTTCGACACCGGTGGAGGGGGCAAGGGGGAGATGGGCCAGCCTTGCTGTGCAAGTTCAAAAAAATCGCACGGAAAAACGATCGCCGCCCAGGAGCCCAAGGTGGGACAGGAGGGAGGTCAGCCGAAGTTTGTGTGCGACGTCAGTGGCTGCAATCGCTCCTACATCTGGCTGAGCAGCCTGAAGAGGCACGTGAGCGTCTCCCATGGAGTCTGCGACGAAGCTGCGACGGAGGAACGTGACCTCGTGAAGCCCGCGGAAGGAGGCAACGCCGTTGAGGAAGCCGAGACGGCCGTACCAAGGCAGTCGTCATCAGAGGTGCAGATTCCAAAACAAAAGGAGGAGAGTGTACGGGCTGACTGTACCCATAACAAGCGTGCCAAGTGGCCTGCGATATACAAAAACGACAAGTATGTCTGCTGCAAGTGTTACAAGACGTTCAACAGCCCGCAACAACTGGGCGGCCACCTGTCTGCCAGGAAAAATTGCGTACCTCACCCACTGTGGATGAGCGATGGTGGTGAGCAGAAACAATCAATTAACGTTTTTGATGGTAGCGTGGACAAAGGCATGGAGGTGGGAGGAGATGCCCCATGTGAGTTGGGGCTTTCGGGCGTTGTCAATGATAAAGATGTAACTTCTGAAGATGTTACTCGGTCAAAAATAGACTGCATTGCTCAAAAGTTGTCAGCACCTGAGTTGGATATGTTGGGAAATGAGCTCCAGAGGAGAGTTCAGCAGTGGCCACACGTAACCGACAAACCTTGTCGCAGTGGCTGCATTTCCCCTTCCAATAAAGGGTGCACGTTGATGCCTTGCGGACAAGGTACACAAAGGGAACGGCAAGAAACTAAATCAAATCTGGTTGCGGGGAGGCAGGGTTCCCCACTCAGATTGAGCTCCGCCGACAGTGAAGTTTGCGATGGAACGATTTCCATAACTAATGTTTGCAGCCTCTCTCTGAGTGCCGAGGCGGAACACATCCAGTCTGAAGGGAGCTGCCCTTCAACGTCTTCTAACACGCCACGAGACTTTTGGAAAACGTATGAAAGCAACTCACGGATGTCTCGCGAGCAGGCCCTAGTAGCAAGAGGAGAGACCAGTGTAAGTGCACCCACCGCTTTTATATGTCCCCCTCCAAACCTTTTGAGCATCTCTCAAGGACCAGCCGAACACAACAAGACCGCCTTCATGGACCCTCAATTCACAACCAAGGCAATCCGCATGGTGATGGGCTTCCATTCGATTTTGGATGAAGATGACGTTGACCCAGGAGTCTCCCATTCCGTTGAAGTAAATGTTTCTCGGAAGCAAGCTGACGCAATGCGCTCGACGGCATTTCCTGCAAGAGTGACGGGCAGACTTATCCCCTGCTGCGTTGCTTCATGCCAGTACAGAGCGGCAACACGGCGTACTCTGTCGGGCCACTACATTAATTGTCATGGCTACAGCAGGGAGGAAGGCTACAGGCTTGCTGAGAACCAATGCATGTCCCAGCCCGTCAAGTCCTTCACCACGAACACTCCAGTGGAGTCGCATCGCCAAACGAATAAGCCACGTGTGGGTGGTCTCTGCGGCAGGCCTCCTAGTGACTTGGCAGCATCCGGTGATGATTTTGGAGGAAAAGATGTTGCATCCAGCGAGAATTGGCTCGATCGGGTGGCCGTGCAAGGGCAGTGTGGGCAAGGCCCAGTGAGTTCAGGAGGTGAAAGTTCACACACGTTAATTTCCCAGCAAACTGCTCAGGCCAGGCACAGGTGGCCCCGCAAGGCACACACAGAAATGCTATTAAAGCGACCCTATGACCTGGCCTGCGCGTGGGAAGATGGCAAGGCCGCATTGGCCGGGATGAGGAAGAAGGTGCCGAAAAAGCTCATGTGTGGAATTAATGGCTGCACGCGCGTCTTCATGTGTCCAGGGAGCCTGAAGCAGCACGTGGCTGTGTCGCACAAGGAATACAAGCGGGCTGCGTCCCCGCAGCAGTACATGCTCCCAGAGTCGCTGGTCATCGAGCACAATAAGGCCGGGGCGGACACGCTGCTCACGCTGCAGAGAGAGAAGCAGGAGACGTGGAGTCCCTGGCTGGCGCAGGAGCGTGACAGGTTGCTCAGTGGGTGCTCCCATAACCGCTACGCCAAGTGGCCGGCAATCTACAAAAATGGAAAATACGTGTGCAGCAGGTGCTACAGAGCGTTCGATAGTCCAAAGTCTTTGGGTGGACACCTCGCTCACAAGACAAACTGCGTACCTCCCTTCACGAGCCCATTCTCAGAGAGAGGTCACCCGCCATGCCAAATGCGTCCGTTGACAGCCGAGGCAGTCAGTTATGTGGTGAACAACTCGGCCGCCAGTGAGTTCTGCATTGTGGCTGTGGAAGGTGGCGCTAGCTTTGGTGTTGATCTGAGAGCTCCAGACGGTTCACAAGTGGGAGGTGGTGAAATTATGAACTCGCAATTGACTGCGGACTCTGGATTACACCCGCAGGTTATCTCAAACAGTGAGTGCATTGACAACAGCGACTTCACCATCACGAACGTTTGTAGTTTATCAACCAACGCAAACCCTATTTTCTACAGATCTAAAGATCCCTTGACTGAGGGCAGCAGTAACCCAGTCGGCGTGTTTCCAGGAGCGGTGGAGCGGCACATTATCCCCAGCTTAAACCCGCAACACATGCCTCTCACCGGCCACAGAGTGCACACTCAACCCAGACCAGGCTTACAGGGTGAACGTTCCTCTGAGCACACCGTTGCGCCGATCGCGAGGCGCTTCAACAACGGCAGCGGCGAATCTGACGGGATGCCCCCTGCTCGTGAAACGAATTCCAAAAGTCACGTTTGCCGAGTGTCGCATTGTAAATTCGAGGCCCTCTCCAGGACAGCGCTGCTCTCCCACTACGCCGAGGGGCACGCGGTGGAGGAGCGCGTTGCCGAGCCGCCCACCGTGCCGTTCGGATGCCTCTTCAAGGACTGCGACGCCAAGTTCCCCGGCCACCGCGGCCTGAGGCTTCACTACAAAAGCCGGCACAAGGTGAACGACCAGCAGCTGGAGAAGCTGTGCGTCGAAACCGCGGACGTGCGCGCTGCGTCGCCGGGCTTCTCGCCCGTCGAGTGCAGCATCGTGGAGATGGCGACGCCGGCGGCGGCGGCGGCGGCGGCGGGGGAGGAGGAGGGGGATCGAGCCGCAGGCCCGGCGCTGCAGGCCTCCGGGCTGCCGCGCGCTGCGGACGAAGCGGCCGTCACGTCCCCGCTCCTGCTCATTGTGACGGTCGAGGCGGACGAGGGCCGCTGGCCGGGGGATGCGGCGCCGGCGCGAGGGCCCACGGGGAAATCCGGGCGCCGTCCCCCCGTGGGCAAAGGGGCGCCATCGACTCCTGACGCCGGCCCAAAATGGGCGGATCGAGGGCCGAGAGATGCACTCTGAATTGGACGGTTTTTTTGCATTGATCACCTTTGACAAACGTTTGTTGAAAGTGTTAAAAGGACAAAGTTTCGCGAGTCACGAAATGTAATGAAGGATGAATAGCTCCTGTCGAAAATTTTTTTCAGAGACCTTTTGGAGTGTTTAAGGCCATTTAAAAATGTCAGAAGCAACTTTTTTCTTGTGTTCTTTTTTAAAGTAGCTTAATTTAAATGGTGTAAACCCCACCCGGCTCCCACCTTTGTTTTCAGTTGTTCTGCAAAGCATGTACTACAGACACATCGGGAGCACAATATTTTATTGCTCTGAATGGAATGTTGGTTTTCGTGAAGTTGCCCACGAGATTACCCACCGTCCCCGCTCACTCCCACCTTCTCTCTATGCTTGCCGCGACCACCGCTAGTTGCGTTCAGAGGATTTGGCTGCTATTGTACATTTCCACATGATGATAAGCCAGTTCAGTGGGATATCATTGGTGGCCAGGTCACTTCTGAAAAAGAGCTGTATAAGCTCAATGGGCGTTACTTGGTAAAAAAAAAAGTAAAAAAAAATTCGAAATAGAGAACAAATCTGCAATACACAATGTTGCAAATTTCACGTTGAAATGCGAAAGTAGAGACTGCAACTGCAAAGCTTGTTGAGGAAGTGGAGCTGAATGAAAAGAGATGTGAACGCGAGGAGATTACGTATCCTCTGAACTCTGCATAGTGGAGGGAAAGGCGGATTCAATATATAAGCGAACAACACAACGCTGTACATGACCAGGGGATCGGCAACCAATACAACAAGAAGAGCCATTTTTTCCGAATTCCCAGATGGTGGTGGGTCCTTAATAAATAAGGTGTCACAAGGCAGTCGTTTAAAAGAGCCGCAGGTTGTACGTGGCCGACGAACCCGTAAGCAAGGAATGAGGGCAGCCACAGAGAGATTGGTTTCTCCGCTTCTACGCTTCACGTGGTTATTTATCACCCAGCACACTCCCAAGAGGGGGACGCCTTCCGTGGTGTAACGGTCAGCACAATTGGGCTTGCGATCAGTGAGGTCGACGGTTCGATTATTTGATTTCCCGGCGCGGCAGTTGAAACAATGGGGGGCAGGTTTCTTAAATCCCCCACCTCCTCCCTCCCCCCTCCCCACTACCATATTAATCAGCAGTCCAGGTTGCACCTCCAATTAACACGGTTGGCTACGTACGGTGCGAAGGAAGTTCAACATATGTAGTGTTATTGAGGACACCGTAGTAGGTGAGTCGATCGGCAGGTCATGTATGGTGGAGTAAGCGTAGGTACCCCCCCACTTCTTCCAAGACCCATGCTCGCATCGTAGAAGAGTAGGCCAAACACCCTCTCTAGAGGGCCTATTTAGAGCTCCGTCTAGTGGCGGACCCTTCTAGCAGTCGTGTGAGCGAGTGATTGTAGGGCTACCCGTTTTTACCTTATCTCCATGAAAGGTAATAATTAACTTTTTTTTTGCTAAACCATGGTGTGATGTTCATAGATGTTTACGTGCCTGTAACACCGAGCAACCCGAATTGCATTTCATTAATGGCCACACCCTGCCTGCGGATGATTCTGTTACCTGATATTTTTTTCCATTTGCACATGTGAGCCGCGCTGAGGCCATGCCAAGCCAGGCCAAAAGCCGTGCCACCGACGTCACGCACACAAACGCTGTGACACCCGAGACGCACGCACGCAGATAATGTGACGCCGCGTATCCACACAGCGTGCTCGTCGGGGGACATCAGAACGCAACCCGCATCGATGGCCCTGCTCCCTGGCTCTGCTCGACTCCCCGAGATAGATTCAGATTCAGATCGGCGTCTTCGGAGGCCAGTGGAGCCAAGAATTTTGGCCACGGCACGGACAATTGCGGCCGGTGGACTCCGCGCGCTGCCTCGGCTGTGCCATTTGAAAACGGGGGTGGGGGGGGGGGCATCGGAGAAGTCGAAATCCCACCGCGAGGTTTCGCATTTTGCTCGAAACGAGGAATATTTGCTCGAAAATATTTTGGCGACAAGCCCCGTTGGCCGTCGGAAATGTTATTTTACGTTGGCGATGAAACAGACGCTTATATTTCATTATAATGCCCGCGGTGTGCAAGAATGGTACAATAATGAATAAACGGCATTGTACTTTTTTTGTTCACTTGGGGCGGAACAACAAAAAAAAACGTAACTTTACACGGCCTTAGCGTGTACTCGTGTGTACGTGCGTGTGCGCGAACGAACGCACGCACGCACGCTGCTCTCGTCCGTTTCGTGGCTCGTATTGAATCACGGTGAATGCTCGTTAAGACACTGCAAAGCGTAATTGGCCCTGGGATGCACATTTCTTGTCAAACCCACTCACACACAGTCGGGAGACACGATGTGTTCTGTGAACGCGGTGCGTCGTACCTTGCGTTGATGTTGGGGGTTTTTTGTAGGCCGACTACAGCCTGCTTTGAGTTATTCGTCATAAGCTTCCACAACGTATCGTTGTGGTGGCTTTTTTGAGATAATAAACAAAGTAACTTGGATTTGACACCGTCCTTCATGAAGTTTATTGTGGTTGACATTTTCAATATATATTGATGAAACTATGCGCTGCAGTGAACTTGAGATATTGATCCTGACCCAGGCAATATCAACTTTTCTGGGGGTTTATAAAATATGTACCACTTTGTCGGATGTAAACAATGGACATTAAATGGCTATACTAGGCCTTGCCATGGAAATGTGGAATCCCATCACTAAACCCAGGATATATTGGGGGGGTGGGCTTTTGCATTTTTGAGCGAGGAGACACTTTGCCTCACCTTAGGAATTATTCACACACAGGAATTATGCACACACAGATGGGGAGGGGCTGGGTGGGGCTGGTCACCCCGTGGTGCCCTTATAAAACTCAACGTTTAACCTACTCACGCCGGCTTGTGCCCGCCCTCAAAGTCGGCCATATTTGCGGAATACACCACGCCGCCGTTGACCCTGGCCATTGACCGAGCAACCCAACGTTCCTACCAGCTCCCTCCGCAGGAATGTGTTGGCATGACTCGCTTGACCGGCAAGTCGGTCCAGTCACGCAAGTTGGGCCATCGCACACCGAGCCCCAGTTGGATCTCGAGTGAGCTGGCGAGTCGAGCTTGGGTCAAGCGTGTGACGGCCCCATCGCTCCAGCGATGGCTGTAGGGGCGCGTGTCTGGTTGCGCCGTGGTCTGGTTCAATCGCTGCCTCGGTGGGCCCGTGGAGAGAGGGGCAACAGCACCTGAAACTCCAAGGTGCCCTACCAAGTGCTGCCCCCTCGTGTACGTGGCCATAACTGACAAGCCCCGCACCCTCCACCACGTGGTGGAAGCAGAGTTTGGGAAATGCATTCGGATGCTGCAGTGTAATTCAGCAGCACTGCAGAGGCGAGGGTTGGTGGGTCGAACAGAATGTGAATCTCCCATCCGGTGGGCGTCGAGAGGAGGCCACAACCCATGGCTTGCCAAGACAAAGTGCAGCAAATGTGGACTCCCAACTGTTGCATCTGCATGGGAAGGTGTCGTGCCCCTCGCACGCCGTGGGTAGTCTATGGGTGCTCTGATTCCCTACTACTCTACAGACAAATCAATTGGCTGAAAACGTCTTGATATTTTTCGAGGAGCGCAGAGCTCTTGGGCAATTGTTTGTGCCGTCGGCTCATCGTCGTCTGGGCTGCCTTGTCTTCCTGCTCGTGTCCGTGGGTCTGCGATTGTGACCGACGCAATTTGCATGAATGACGATGGCACTGCCATATATATTAAACAAACCCCAACATTTTTAGGATTTGGCAAAACTTAGCCCACCACTTTTCACGCAGACAACTGTAGCGTGGCACAGACTGTGTCTCTAACCTAACATTTACCCATTAATAACATTTACGAAGCAAAACAACATCTATACCGCACTATTAAAAACACGAATTAACATATTGCTATTCTTTGTTTTTTTCGTTAAAGACACGTAGGTAAAACAATCAATAAAATAAAATAAATGAAAACATTTAACACAAGCTTCCTTCATCAGGTGTAAAAAAGGCACAGCAAAATAACTAGCGAGAGTTATTTGTGATGAGACATTGTTACATAGGGTAAGAGGAGGGGGAGGAGCCAAGGAGGACGGGCGCAGGATGGGGGGGGGGGGGCAGGTGAAGGTGAAGCTGATACTAAACGACTGAGCCACAGATGGGGGAGAGGGGACGCAGAGCGGGGGAGAGTCACGGTTGAGGTTTAACATGGTTAATTTGAATCCATCTTCTCGGTTGAAGTTATGTCTATGTTTGTATATCTGTATAGCCTCATGGACAAATCTTTGGTGGTATCCAGACGGCGTGCAGAGTACCTTCGTATCGGAGAAAACAATATCATGATCACCCACAGCATTGTAACAATGATCAGCAACGGCCGAAGAATTCGTTCTGCCGTGTTTCAAATCAGATGTTTCGTCTCCCCGATATAGCAGTCACCGCAGGTACAACTTGTAATGAATTTGCATTTATTAATCTCCTCCCCCCCCCCCCACCCAACTTCGCACGTGAAGGGCTCACAAGTGACGCCATTAAGGAACGAAACGGGAGGAGGATTTTCCCACAAATCTGTCCGCCTGATGATGCCGGTTGTAATTACTGGCGAATCGTCGTACTCCGATTGTAAATGTCGTGGCTTTGCTCTCCAACACACACCGGTGTTGCTGTATTAGTAACGAATTGGCCACGTTCTGTGTACGTGACAAACCTTACTAGTTGGCTGTGTCGGGTGGTGGCGGGTTTAACGAAGACACATTTATATATTTACGCGATCTAACCCCCCCAAAAAAACCTCAATCTTGTAATACGAGCCCGTAGATAGTCGCAGTGACCGTGGTCTCCACGCGGTGGCAGTACAGCCACGCGGCCACGTATGGCCCTGCTCACAGCCGCCTCGCTCCCCCGCGAGCATCACGGCCCAGTGAGCGTCCATCTGGCGCGGTGGTGACGACCGCGCCGTGCCTCGCAGCAAGAAGGACCTGGGTTCGATTCCCGGCTCGGGCGCAGTTCTGTGTGACAGTGTTTGTATGTTCCCCCCCACCCCCTGTCCTGAATGGGATTGCACGGGACACTCCGGTTTCCTTCCATCACTTGACCCTTCATCTCTTTGCTGTGAAGGGTCATTGCCCGAAACGTCAATGTATTACACGTTTTCCTCCCTTAGTTTAAGACCACAGTGTTACAAACGAACGCGTTGAGCTTTTGCTAAATAATATAACGGCGAAGACTGATTGGCATGGCGACACTGACCACCACGCCTCCGCCACGTGTGTCAATCTAAGACATGCCACGAGAGCTCTCGGTGTTTGCCGTAATTATTTTTTGCTTTGGTGCGTGGAGCCGTGGCACAGCGGTAGGCGCACGCGGCTCCGAAGCCGGGTGACCCAGAGTTCCATTTCAGGGCCACGGCGGATATCGGCGGCGAGCAGTGACTGATCGCTTCCTTTGGCCCTCCCCTTTCCTTCGCCCGCCAGCAGCGTGGTGAAGTATGGTCGGACAACCCCCGTGACCGACACAGTGTGGGGTGGGGAGGCCCTCATCCAGCAGGGGATTGACAGAAAGGACAACTTCGCTTGACTGTGCGAACCCGAGAGAGACGTCGTTTTGTTATTAGGGGGTCGTCGCCAAGTCAACAAAAGAACTCGAATCGTACCCAGAGGTCGCAACCGGGTACCCAATACCCGTACCCTACCCGATACCCGGCTATCCGTACCCGGCCGGGTACGGGAACCCGTTTGCGACCCTGGTGCGGCCGGGTACGAGTACGGGTAGACCGTGAGTCACTGGTGAGTAACCGTTTGTCACTCATTTCCCCACGTCTTGTCTCTTCTCACAATTCAAGTTCTCTGAATCAACCCACCCGCGCCTGCAACATGGCTTCATCCCAGAGGTCGCAATCAGGTACCCGATACCCGTACCCTACCCGTACCCGGCCGGGTACGGGTAGGGTACGGCCGGGTACGGGTACCCGTTTGCGACCCTGGTGCGGCCAGGTACGGGTAAGGAATCAAAACCCGTTTGCGACCTCTGATCGTGCCTAAATAACTCTGTGGCCTTAAAGAAAAAAAAAGATTGTGAAAGGTAACGTTACGCCTAAAGGTCCTTCTTCATAGCACGCACACACACGTATGTAGTAGGCAAGAGAGAGTGGATCATAAGAGTTGGAAGCCGCATTTGTTTAGTGTTTATTTTTTATATTCTGATGACCGGTTTTAAAGTGGCTTACAGCAGTAAATAATGACGCGCATAATCGCCATTGAGTAACAGACAGACCTTTCAACAATCAAAACATTACTCAACAAACTCAGTAATAATCACATTCTCAAATGTTGCTGGCACACAGTTTATTTCGGTTACAACAGATGAAAGAGGCGCCGCGGTTGGCGAGATGCCAACTATCTCGCCCGGTCTACAGGAGGTCGTGGGTTCGATCCCGACCCTGACGCCTGCTGCTGTGTATTTGGAGTTTGCGTCTCTCTCTCATCATCATCATCACGGTGGCTAGGAGATGTTAACTACCTCGCCTGGTCTACAGGAGGTTGTAAGTTCGATCCCGACCCTGACGCCTGCTGTATATTTGGAGTTTGCGTGTCTCTCTCTCATCATCATCATCACGGTGGCTAGGACATGCCAACTACCTCGCCTGGTATACAGGAGGTCGTGGGTTCGATCCCAACCCTGACGCCTGCTGTATATTTTCAGTTTGCGTGTCTCTCTCTCTCTCATCATCATCACGGTGGCTAGGAGATGTTAACTACCTCGCCTGGTATACAGGAGGTCGTGGGTTCTCCCCGTCATTTGGATTTTTCTCTGGGTCCTCTGGTTGTTTCCCTCCACATTTAGAAACATGCGTTTAGGTTATCTGTCTGATATCCATTTCCACGTGATAAACCACTCCACTGGGCTATAATTTGTGGTCAGGTCGCTTCTGAACAGAGCTATATAGCTCAGTTGGCCTTATCTGGTAAAATACAAATATTTCTTGGACCTTTTTGCTAGCATCAAAGTATGGAAAATAAGAATAGGTTTTAGCATTTCTAGCAATAAACCAGGTGTTAAGATTCATATTCTTGATTCTTTCGGTAAAGTCACGTAGAATGTAAAAAATAAAATAATAAAAAGAAAACATAATAAAATAAAATAAAATCTTTTATTATGATTAAATTATTTTATAATGTTTTCTTTTTATTATTTTATTATTTCCATTCTACGTGACTTTACCGAAAGAACCAAGAAGATGAATCCCTGTAGTCACAAAAGCTTTAAATCAGGTGTCAAGATGTTAAAACACTAATGAGGGACACCTTTTGCACAACACCTGTTTCATTGCCAGAAAGGGTAAACCCCTATTCTTATTTTTCATTCTTTGATACTGGGCAAAAAAAAGGTATCCCATGACAAAGCTGCTCACCCCGAGGTACAAATGCTCTGACACGTGTGGCATCATTGTGTTTGTGCTGTTCGCCTTTTGGCGTTCTCTGGTCTGACCACTGCTCGTGAGACTAGGCCATGAAGGCGATTGTCCCCGGTGTAGGCCAATG